TGAAACTGTGGACCTGGGGGGAGGGGGGTGAAGAGTGAAACTGTGGAGCGGGGGGGGGGAGATTACTGCCGACGACATATTCGCGTTTGTAGATAGAATTTGACCCAGAATGCAAATGGAAAAAAACCGTGAGCGAAACGGTAACTGGTACTGACTAGTATATATTCCATTGAGGGAAACTAAGTTTCATATCTGCTCAAGAGCCCCCCTGGTGGTTGAAGAAAAATCCACATATATATGAAAAAAACACTGAATGCTTTCTGGTATTGCTCAGGGTGCCGGACCAAATGAGGAGGCGGGCCCGCGGGCCGTAGTTTGGGGGGACCCCTCCTCTAATCCAAAACAGATAATCTCTAATGTCCTTCTCAGGTACCTCATTTTTGTCATGAGCGTCACAACCCTCATTGCAACCAATCAGATTGTGGTGCTGAACTACTCTCTCCGCAGCCCCAGCACTCACATCATGTCCCACACTGTCAAGCACGTAAGCCCACCGCGGAAAATGACGTGTTTTGAAAAGCAGACGTAGTTTTTGCGAGCTAACACAGATTGTCCAAACTGTCTCCTGTAGTTGTTCTTGGAAATGGTGCCTCGTTTCTTGGGCATGTCCCCGCTGGTGGACGACAGTGAGGCGACAGCCGAGATGAACGGGTTGAAGGAGAGGCGGCGCAGCTCCTTCGGCCTCATGCAGAGGGCAGAGGAATATGTGTTGAAGCAACCTCGGAGTGAAATGATGTTCGACAAACAAAGAGAGAGACATGGCCTCACTCGATCAATTGGTGAGAGTGATTTTTAATTGATAAAGTTTGCCATGTACTCCATTTAGAAGATTCCCTCCTCCTGTGCTGATGCTGTTGACCCCAAAGTATTATTTACTTCTATTGGTGGAGTTGCTCTGCTTCTAACTGTTGTCCTCTCAATCTTTGTAGTAAATAACATAGATGTGAGCAGCACTGCAAACTTGTACAAGAGTTTAGCGCAGGCGGCACCTGAGATTAAGCAGTGTGTGGACGCCTGCAACTTCATTGCTGAAAGCAAAAGGCAACAGAATGACATTGGATCTGTGAGTATTGCATTTTTAAGTTTGGAGTTTAATTTTGTTCTGTTTTAAATAAATATGATGTGCCTTCCAAAAGTATATTTACTTCTTCTTTGTCATCTTATAACCTTCAGTATATTTTTCTGGGGTTTTCTGGTTTCATCATTTCATTTTATCTCGGTGGGATATCTGATGCTGTCTGGGATCTGTAGTAGCAGAAATGCTACCTCTAACCTCCCTGCTGTGTTTCTTGGTCTTCATTATGGTTTTTTTTTTTCTGGTTTTCTCTAACAAACTCTCATGCAGGAGAACTCTATTTACTAATAGTGGATTGGATTTTATTCATGGGTATCAAAGTAATGGAAGCTGAATATAAATAGTTATGTTTTCTGTAAACTTTTTAAAACAAAGTTCCTTTTCCTTCTGCTTTACAACGTCACAGTTTTGTCTTACTTTGTGTTAGTGCATTAAAAACACAACAATTCAAATAAAACCCATTAAGGTTGTTGCTGTGTTATTCTATTACACTTGACTTTCCCTTCTGGGACAATAAATGCTGTTTCTATTCACAGGAAATTGAAAGCTGGGTTCTGATAGGAAAGATGATCGACAAGGTGTGTTTCTGGGCTGCCATTTCTCTCTTCACTGTAGGCACCGTGGGGATTTTCCTTACTGGGCACTTCAACCAAGCGCCAGAATTCCCATTTCCTGGAGAGAACAAGAAATATGCTCCAGTTTCTTAAAAATAAACTGTTGCTTGCTCTTGGAGCATTTATTTACAAGGTTCACTTTTCCTCATGCTGTACGTTAGCAGCACGGCTTGTGAAGTCCGAGCCTTTAGGGTTAAGTCAGGTTGGATAGATCTGTGTCAAAAATCACACTGATCGTCTGCGAAGCAGCTGAGGGTTTAATTTACTTTTAAATTTTGGCATGTTCTTTTGGTGATTCAACAAAGCTATGTTCTAAATCATAATACTGCTCAGGAAAATCCTTCAGAATATGGTTTGTGTTTTATTTATTACTTTTGAGTCTATGAGAAAGACGTGACACTTCGAAACTGAGAACCTTTAGGCATTTCAGGAGAAAAGTCTAGAGCTTTTGACTAAGCAAATTTTATTTTACTGGAGGAAAGACGGATGTAAAAGGAGACTCCCTCTGAGGTTTAGCTGCTTTGTTTATATGTGAAGAGGAAAAAGTTGCCTAATTGTTCACTGTCTTAAGAAAACCCAGAGCAACCAGAAAAAAACACTTATTTGCCTTCTTGTTTTAATGACGTTGTATAAGGCAGATGGATTAAATGGTGATATTATGCGTTTATTGTTTGTTTTTTTTGTCAATATTTTTATGTGTAACACTGAACTAAATAAAGTAACTTTTATTTTTGACACACATGTCAAATAAAGCACATCAAGGCTATGACTGGATGTGCTGATTTATATCTGTTGCAGCATTTGGGTGGTTGAACCAGAGATTCTGTTGCAATTCCCAGATTTGGGTTTTGTATTATTATTTGTAATTGTGCATTTAATAAATTATTCCAAAATAAAGTGTTTTGATTCTAAGTACTAACATATTTTTTGCACTTTTTCCTTAGGAGAAACCTTTTCAGTCCGAGTCATATTGTTAAAACTTTAATGGGATAAAACGCCATCTTGTGGCGAGAAGGTGCACTACATTAAGATAAATGAATACAAGATAAATGACACGATAATGAGAGGAAGAATCGGTCAGAAGTGTATTTATTATTCATTGGAATTGTCTTTTAAACCCCTTGACCTTAAAGCATCTGAAAATTGTTACCAGGGATGAACCAGACTTGAGCAGCTCCACAAGTCTCTGCCTTATGTCTTGGGTGATTTCTTTTGACTTTCCCGTTGTGTCAATAGTTCAGCTGCTATTTTTCTTTAACTATTGACATTTAACATAAATATATATCCATCTACCCATCATCTATATCATCTTATCCTAGCAGGGTCACAAGGGGGCAGCCTACCGCCAGTGATCACTCCAACAAGTACCGGGTTACAGCCTGGATACATTCCCAGTTCATCATAGGGCAGCACGAGCAATAATGTACACCCACACTCATCTGAGAGTGACTAAAATAGTCTTTTTTTTTAACTTTGGGGAAAAGTCGGGGCAGATGGAAAGAACCCAAACATGCACCAGGAAATCATGCAAATTCCATGCAGGCAAACTCAAGGCTGCAACTTGAACCAAGGACATTCTTGCTGCAAGGTAATAGTGGTAGCCAAAGTGATATCCTTCAGCTCACATAAAGGTTTATATATAACCAAATATCATTTTTCATCCATCTGTCCCCTCTTTACCTTGTGATAAGGAGAAATCAGTTTATAGGGGTTTTTGTATCATGTGCGAGACACTAAAATGTAAACTCATTCTAATCCCAAATTTTTGGTTTGCACCTTTAACAGCAAAGTTGACCTTATCTACTGCTAATTAACATTATCTTTCTGTATTGTCAAAATTTTTCAGAATTTACTTTAAATTTCCCCCCAAAAATGACATGTTTAGCTTATGAGCAAAACCTCATTAAAATACTTTTAGTCTGAACTGAAAGAAGGTTGCTAAAAATACTATTTATGCTAATTTAGGACCCAATTAGATAATCTGGATATTAATATTTTAAAGAGAAATTATTTAATTTAAGACTTCATGTGACATTAAGGAATCTCTGAGTCATATTTTACCATGACATGCCCTTAAAAGCCCATATTAAACCAATATAGATGCCCACTTTTGCCTGTATAATACCATCAAAATTAGGAACTTTCTCTTGACGACAGGAAAACCTTCACAATGGGACCGTGAAGTATTTGCTACTTCAAGTCTGTAACTGTTTTTCAGGAAACAAAAAGAACCCTACACACTTCAGCTTATGAAAAGTGAGGATAAATTACTCTTTCCTTCAATCTGTCTCTATAATCGGATTGATCTAATCTGATTATGTAATTTTGTATGACGTTTGCCTTAAGATGCCATTTGTTCCGAACTGCAGTTTAATCATTGTGAAAAAAAAACAAACAAACTGTATGTACTTTTTGAACTTAATTTTGAAAGAGCCCGTACCGGAAGTCACGTGCTCTTTCGTCTGACGTCGTCGCACTAGTATGTGCGCTACTACACATTCTTGCATGTGTTTCTCATGTTAGTGGGCGGTCCTAGACTTGCTCTCTGTAATATATGAGCATACTGTTCTCGCGGGAGGAAAGTGAATCTCCCCCATTCCTATTTTGTTTCTACTTACAAGAACACCAAACATCCCGAGTAACTGATCTCCAACAGCATTAGTTTTGTTTTAGTGAACAAGCAGAAAAGCCCATCCTAAACCGGCTCTTTAAAGATTTACACAGAGGGCTCTCATCACATTTCCACCCCTTCATGCTGTCCCATGTTCGGCCAATGGGAGGGACTAAGCGAGTGCATCACCTCAACTATAGGGTGACATTTTCACACTGGTTGGAAAACGATGATATAATGGTGTGAATGCGCAGATTTTGACACAAATGTTTGGAGTGTGGATGTGGACTGGGCTGCGGCTGTAATTAAACACGAGTGAGTATATTTTTAGGCATCGCCATATTTCGCTTCGTTACGTTGTAGCAGAGACGTGACGATAAGTCTTAACAGCAGATTTTTACACCCCGGGGTATGACAGCAAAATAGTTTTCTAAATACAGTGCGTGTCTGTTCAAAGCCGTGACATTTATTTTTTTACGCGTTTTTGAAGACGGATGTGAAGTTTATGGCGGACTCAGACGTGGTAAGAAGCCGAGGGATGGGTGGAGACGAGAGAAACTTAGATCACATCCTTTCAGTGCCAGAATAACCTTGATATGAACGCATAAATCGCTCTCAGCTAATTTTATTCTGCTTATTTAATCGTTCAAGCAGATTTGTATGCACTTTACCAAACTCTCTGACGGATTCCAAAACTTAATCAAAACTTCAATCACTTGTAATCACTTCTTCTCAGAAACGAAAAGGTTTTTTCCCCTAAATGCTTTTGTGATGTTTTAAGGTTACTATATATACATATAGTAACCTTCCTGGTAGGATCTGACTTTGCATTGTTATTTTAGTCAAGGAATTTATGATAAATGTTTATTAGCTTCCCCACTAGGTGGCATTTATTTTCCTCCATTTACTGATAGAAAAGTCCAGGCTTAAAAGTACAAATCTGCCATTATTCCCTTAAAATATTCCAGCACAGCAGATAACATGTGTGTTTGAAATGTTTGATTGGAAGATGAACCATGCAACAAAATATAATCTTGTATGTGTCTAAAGCTTTATTTCAAAATTAACCATCAAGCTGAGAAACCCGATTGAGTCTTGAGTCCTGTGTTTACAGTTTCACCTGTGACCACACCCAGTTTTTATGTTGCAAGACCAGCCTTTGCATTGGTTGGTGGTAGAAACCAGATTTTCTGCTTTTTTTTTATGGATCAGAAAGGTCAATATGTTAAAATGTCAACGTGTTGCTTCGTTTTTCAGCTTAAAAGTTCATTCATCTGAATTATCGAGGTTATCTGTTCTGATTTTATGAAGATAAATATTTCAACAAGCATGCAGAACAATCAGACCTGGCATTCTGTTTCTGTTTCTTAACCTGTGAAATTCCCTCTAGAGACTGATCGGGAAAAAAAAACAAACTGAACAGACAAGATCGTTATAAGTGCGTTTGATGATGATAAAGCTCACTCTCGCTGTTTAGGGCTGAACCAGCGACCTTTATGCACTATTATTAACAATAAATAATCATATTTATTGTTAACTTTCTTGACCAAAAACGTAATGTTTTTACCAGAAGGCAACACAGTACCCTGCTGGAACTTTTCCACATATTATCACAATCACAAATCTTTATGTATTTTATCAATATTCCATGTGCTCAACAATCACACAGTAGTACAAAACTATAAAGTTGTAATAAAAAAAGGATATATATTTTTGTAAAACGATTTACAATCAGAAATCTTAAAAGTGTGGCATGTATTCATCCGTCTTTACTCTGAGATCAGTAAATAAAATACAATCTGTGTGAACATTAGTGAACAAACATCATTATTCACGGTTAGCCTTCAGTGTCTCTCAGTGCTGACACAACTGGAAACCTACCATGAGACGGTCGTCCAACTAAAGAGACGGGTGAGGCGAGCACAGCGTTAATCAGAAGTCCATGATGCCTCTGAAGAAACTGGAGAATTACAAAAATGTGGCAATGTAGTTTAAATAGAGTAATGCTGCCTCAACATTGTGCTTCCAGGTGGTTAAACGGACACTTTTTCTGTTTCTTTTTTTATCCATCTTTGGTTTGACATTGGGGTTGACGGTGTTAGGAGTTTGTCTTGTAGCCGGTGGGTTGCAGCTTCGAACCCTCGCTCCGTTTGTCTCAATTGTTGGTGTTCTTGTGCAAGACATTTCACCTGCCCTGCCTGCTGGTGGTGGTCAGAGGCTCCTCGGGTCCGGGTCAGACTGCTGCATCAGCTGGGTGACATGAGGGTCTTGTGATTGTCTTACACAAAAGTGGAAGTGATCATATGAAAAAAAAAAAAAAAATCTGATCTGTTCATGTTGTAGCTCTTCAGATCTTGTAAACGCTTCACACAATCGCAGATGGTGTTCCCAATGTCACTTCCTGTCTGCCATCCAGCCTCTTGTGTGTTTGTTTTCTCTCACATGTAACATTTAACCTCGTTTCACATGGAAGAGCTGTGACATAATCACACATTTCCTGGATGAGTGTTTGGATTTACTGCACATGCGATTCTGCTATATCTCAACCGCAATTCTCAGTACCTCTTTTATTGTCTCGGATACACACACACACACACACGCACACACACACACACACACACACGGATGCACACACCCGCCTTTCCAGTTGTCCTGTTTCCCAGGAAACAGCCATTCAAAGACATCTACCCACACACCACATACCAGGCCCCACACACTCCCTTATTTTCTTACTGGTAGCTGTGTCTCTCATGTCTCAGATGTCGTATTGTTGCTCACTAGGTAGACGTATGAAGATCTTCACGTTTTTGGCTTTCAAAATTAAGTTCCTCCCATTTCAGTTATCATGATACAGATTTGTTTTGTTTTTCTTGAGTTATTTTTACTTTCACTTATTGCTTGTCTCCTTCCTCTGTGATTATATGCGCTTTGTGATCCTGTTTGCAGATTATTAACCCAATTATTCAGACATTGCCACTGCGTCCCTCGGCTGTGTTGCATCTTTTTTGGCGACACAGAGTGTTAATTCTGTGCTTGCTTGGAAATCTTGTGGCACGGGTCTGATCGTTGCCTAAGGGGGAACAGAAACAGCTAGCGAAGCCTCCAAATTGTGATATGAGCCAGGCCTCAGAAATTGCCAGCCTAAGGACCTCACAGTTTCTGAGAGTGAAAACTGTGTTGTTGTTTTTTTTTCATTATGGCAGTAGCATAATTTCAGCCTGAAAACAGAAAAATACAATCTGTGTTTTTCATTTTATTTAAGTCAGTTTTGCGGAAAATACGACTTCCTTTGCCCGAGGAGTGCAAACATTACACGGCATGGTCATCCACTTGCTTTTGGAAACTCTGCAAGACGAGAAAGATAAGAGAACATGTCGTTCAAAAAGACAAGATGTCTGTTGATAATGGCTACAAGAAAACTGATTATTATAAGGTGATGCTTAGCAACAGGTTTGGGAGAGGCTGCACTGTATTTTTTTCCATATAGTTTGAAAATCTGTGGTTACATTTCAACTTTTTGCATAGCTTTACTATGACTATTTTTATTCTTTTGATCAAAACTGACATCAATTTTATTACAAATTTGCTGTATTTAATACCAGAAACTTTGACCTCCAAGATTTAACCAGCACAAAGAGTCTGATCTTGTTTTGGTCTTTCTTTTTCATCTGTAATGTCAATTTTTTTTTGGATAATATTTACTTTCTTTCTCGTAGGGGAGCTTGACCTTTCTACGATAGCGCCATGTCCGGTCCAGATGATGAGATCGAGCCTGCAGCTGTGAGCTCAGCTGTACCGCGCCTCAACAAGAGGCGCTTCTCGCACGACCGCTATGACCTGAAACTAGATGAACTAGACAGCCTCCTAAAAACCACCGGTAAGGAAACATTTTCCTGAAATAAGATCTAATGTATAAGCTGGCTTGTTGCTTGATGGCAACCCTTTTAGTAACGTTTTTCTTCCAATTATCTGTATTCCAGAGGGCCGTCCTTTTACAGTAATTCATCGTCTGCCTGAAATTAAAGAAATGGATCTACCTTACTTAATGCCTGATACTCCTATTACATGCAGTGTGGACAACACAGAGAAACACACCAGTCGATCAAAGGTAAATATAATAATATAAATATATTTTTTTTTGTATCCAGCTCATGAATATTTTCTTTGGTAAAATGCAGCACGAACAAAAAGGAAGCATACACATTTATTTTTAACATCACCCTTAGATGTAAGGTGATAGAAACATGGTGCAGGGAAGACCTTGGAATAAAAATATCTTTTGAATGTTGTATGTTATTTAAAAGTACATTCATATGATACAAAAGCATATGGTTCTTATAAGAAATTATGTATCCAAAATGGAAAAGCTCTAATAAAAAAAAAAAAAAATGACATTACTTCAGTTTATTGAAGTAATGCAAACCTTACTTTCTGCATAAGAATTTTGCTCTCCTGCACCGAAGGGGTTTGAACTTTGACTGGACCATTTCAGTGTGTTCTGTACTTTCTGAGCCATTTTGTTGTTGATTTGTGGCTGTGTTGGAGATCACTGCCCTGCTAATGTCCTGATTTTAACTAAGCTTTGGCTGTTTGACAGATTTGGTTTAAAAATGCTTTGATAACACAAATTTATTGTGTTATTAGTCGCTTGAAAGTTTTCTTCCTAAGCTCTACAAGACATGGTGTGTTAAATAAATGCGCATGATTTTACTATGAGAGAATTATGCATTGTATGTTTTGTTTACATGTTGAAGTGTAAACAGCAGCTAACCGTTTAAGCTCTTATAAAAAGGCAGATCAGAAATGCTAAACAATTTACTACAAATTTATACATTTTTATGGACACAAACATTAATGTTCTCTCTTTTTTGGTCCCTTCTTTGGTATTTAATGTTTGTTATTTTATGGCTAATTAATCTGGTTTACGTAACTTGAATAATCTGCCCCCAGGTGCGTATACGAAACCTGTACACGGTGAAGTTAACTCATGGACCCTTTCACTGGGTAGTAAAGCGGAAGTACAAGCACTTTCAGGAGCTTCACCGAGACCTTTACAAACACAAGATGATCCTTCACTTTATGCCCACTAGAAGGTCGGTGTCTCGACTGACATGCAAATCAGCCTCTTACTCAGGGGGACGTGTGTTTGAAGTCTGAGTGATGTACTGCTTTGAGATTTTAATATTGCATCTCTCAAGCACAGATTACTTTGAATATTCAAACTCTGTTTTTGTTTTTTTTCAAAGGTCTGAGAAGGAAAGGCAGCAGCTGAGGGTAATGTCAGAGGAAATGCCCAGCCTACATGGGACAGAACGCTCTAGAGGAGCCTCAAGCAAAACGGTATCCAGCAGTCAGGATCCTCTAAAGGCTTCTTGATTTAACTTTAGTCCCTTGCAAAAAAAACACAAACAAACCTATAAAACGATTATTTTAGTCACATGTTTGCCATGTTACATCCACAAGCTTCAGTATTTTGTAGGGATTACATAGACCGGGGGTCAGTAAGCCATTTTTTCCTTTGTTCCATCCAAATACAATTTTTCTAGAGCTGCAAAACTTGCATGATCCTGCAAACAAGGCTTAATAAATACCTTAAAAATATTTTTTAGTGATGAAAAAACAAACAGCGAGCAATAACAACATTCATACGTCCAGCCCTTCCTCTAATTTATTATGGTTAAATTAACCATAATTTTACTTATATTTTGAGTTTTAAACTCAAAGACAGATATTTATTGGATTTGTGCTGAGATTAGATGACACACAAGTTGATACTGTTTTGATAAAGTCAATTATGAAGACAACAGGCTGCACTGGATTTCATTTTTAAACATACGAGAGAAAACGGGACTGAATCAAAAACAGGAAAACTGTGCTTTCTTTTCTTTTCACCGAAGAATTTTGTGTAGTTCGAACATAAAATTTAAATATAATTTCACTGAGGATGGTGGTCGTAACGTGACAAAATATAAAAAAAGATTTAAATTGGCTACGTATTGTAAGGTGATGTCGTTCTCATACGTTCTTACAGAAAGAAATATTCTTGTGGGGGAAATAATCTGATCAAATGTCAGCTGGTATTTTACTAACTCCCTTTTCAACGCAGAAATACCTTGAAGAGTACCTGAACGATCTGCTGGAGAACGGATTCTGTAGAAATGATCGCAGCATGGTAAATTTCTAAAACATCTTTTGTCTTAAAAGTTTTGTCGGCTCTAGTAGACTTTATTTGACGATTGTCAGGAAAACGGGTCGCCCCATTGCCGTGCCAAAGCATCTTTTTTTCTGATGTATTCAGTGGACGTTACACCGTCTACAGTCACGTTTCATGATTACATTCCTTTTGTCTTTTTCAGATTGAGTTCCTCTCCGTCGGTGCCCTCTCCTTTGTCACTGAGCTGGGACCAAAAGGCCTGTAAGTAAAGGAAATGTTTGAATGAAACAGAGACTCTTGGGGAGATGACTGGACGATTAAGGCTTATTGTGATGTGCATGTGGATTTGTTTCAGGGAGGGACCGATCATTAAGAGGTCGGGTGGTCATCGTGTTCTGGGTCTGAACTGCATCGGCCACCATCGGGTGTGTTTTAGCTGGTCGCACCGATGGCTGGTGGTCAAAGACTCCTTCCTTTTGTATATGAGCCGAGACAACAGTGAAATCAACTTCGTGCTGCTTTTTGATCCCGAATTTGAGGTGAAAGTGGATAGTGCCGAGACTGGCACAGAGTACGGAGTCTGCATTAAGAACTTCACACGGTATGTGTGCTTTTCTTTTTTTAAATTATGTCTAGATCTTATCGTATATTTGCTCATTTTACTTCACTTCTGTTTTTTTGTTTTTTTTAAACCAGGGATTTGATCATCAAGTGCAGAAGCTACAGACAAAGCCAGTGGTGGACTCATGAAATCAACCAGCTGGCTCAGTCCTGTGACTTTCTGAAAGTCCACCGCTTCCAAGGCTTTGCTCCACCGCGAGAAGACACTCTTACTAAATGGTCAGATCCCTGATCCACACATGACTCTAACACCCGCAGTCAATTTCAGTCGTTCCTTTCAGTTATTTATTATAGTTCATTGGCTTTCATTTAAGGTATGTGAATGGGAAAGATTACTTTGCAGACCTGGCTGACGCCCTTGAAGAAGCAAAGCAGGAGATTTTCATCACAGATTGGTGGTAAGAGAATAAACAGACTTATGTACTCCATCAACCTGTGCAAAATTGATCATTTTTAAAACCACAAACTTTCTTTTGTTTTATTGGGATTTGGTGTTGTGGACTAACCCAACATAGTGCATAGCTGTGAAGAGGACAGAAAGAGATAGATGGTTTTTTTTATATATATTTTATGTGATAAAGCAAAAATCTTTCCTCTATACCCTGATACCTCTAAGTAAAGTTAATTGCATTGCTGGTTAGTAAACATAGTCTTGACCAGGGCTCTTTCTACATGCCGTCCCTGTTCACTCCATGGACTTTGATATTTCCCCACTGTTAAGGTATTGATTAGGATAAATTGCCCTTTGGCATCAGTGTGTGTAGCCCCAGCAAAACACAAACAAGCAGCATGAAAAAGCAGGTGGAGAATCTGTCGTCATAAAAATGAGAAATACGAAGCAACTGCTAACTTATTGACACCTCCACCCTAAGCTGAGGGTGAGTATTATTTAAAGAGGCACCCATGTGACCTATAACCATCCATCTAAAATGACAGAATAAATGTAGGAGATGCAAATATTTACAACTCAGGTGGAAAATTCTGTTGACAAGAGCTATTAGTTTTGCCATAAATCAGACATTTTTGTAACAGAGTTCAGAGAAGAAACCTATTGATGAAAGAAAACCATTAGAGGTTTTGCTGACAGTTTGCCACTTGCCATGTAAGAAGGTCCTTCAGTCATATAAGAATAAAACTAACACTGCTCACTACTCTGAACAAACTCTCTCTAGGGTGAAACATGCAAGTGGCAGGAACAGGGAATGTGTTGGAGTGATAGATGGAGCTCAAAACAGGCCAGTTCAGAGACAAAACCTCCTAGAGGCTATAAAAGACTTGAGCCTGGTGCAGAAGTTCACCTTCCTAAGATGGTTTAGATTAAAATCATGTGTAAGAGTGATTAAGTCAGAGTGTAAACCTAGATCTATTTCTAAATCTGAGACAACAGCTGAAACTTTTAAGTGCTTGAGTGAGGTTATGAAATGTTGAAAATCAACAGAGAAAGTTCTTTGGATGTGAAACACTGGTACCAACATACCCCTATATGCTTGTAGCTGCAGTTCAGCATCAAAATGTGGTTCCACAAAGATACTGACTCAGGTGTTGGAGTCATAAGTAAGGAATAATAAGATCATATATTTTGTCATTCTCAGTAAGGTTAATGTCAGATTAGGTTAGCTTTATTGTGAAATTCAGGTATTTATTTTGAAAGTGTTACTTTCTGTTGAGCCAGCAGAAGGACGGCAGAATCTGCTGATGTTATGGCTACCCTGTTGCCATAACATCAGCGTAGCTCTGTACTGACACCGCACTTTTTGTTATTATTATTTTTCATATACAGAACTAGAATCCTTTCTTTTACTTTGCAGCTAAGCACAGCCTCGTGTGGTTTTCCACTTAAAAATGTCCAGTAGAATACCTTAAGGTTTTCAGTTGTCGCATGATAAAAAGAAGAAAAGTTCAAAGTGCTTTTGGAAGGCACTGTATTATAAAAGTTACATTTCCAAGGTCATTAGCATATAGAATGATTTTTCCGATTCTTAATCTCTTATCAGGCTGAGCCCAGAAATTTTCCTAAAGAGACCTGCCACTGACAACCGCTGGAGACTGGATGAGATACTGAAACGGAAAGCAGTAGGGATTTGTTCTCTTTTAATGAAACACTCAATTGTTTGTTTTTTTTATTTTAAACTCGGGTGTTTTTGTTTCAAAACCATATCGCCTCTCTTATCTGTAGGAAGAAGGAGTCAAGGTTTGTGTCCTGCTTTACAAGGAGGTGGAGATGGCACTTGGCATCAACAGCGACTACAGCAAGCGGACTCTGATGAACATGCACCCAAACATCAAGGTCTGTGGTCTTCTGGGGTTAAACTGCTTTGCATTTGTTTGCTGTGCTCGACTAAACAGTTAGATCTCCTGTAATCCGTCAGGTGATGCGACATCCAGACCACGTTTCATCTGCGGTGGTCTTGTGGGCTCACCATGAGAAGATGGTTGCCATCGACCAGACGGTGGCGTTTGTTGGGGGACTCGACCTGGCGTTTGGGAGATGGGACGACAGAGAGTATCGGCTGGCCGACCTGGGTCAGGCGGAGATGCTGAACGGGGACACGGGGGAACATCCAAACAAAGATGTAACTGTAAGCATGGGCTGTTAATTGGTGTGCCGTGCATTTGTTAACCGTAATTTGTGTATTAGTGCGCAGGCAGAGTCCTAAAATAGTGACTCCGTTAAACAGGACAATGGTGTGGCTGATGGCCAGAATGCAGGTAACCAAACAAAACAGGATCCCACAAACCTGGCTGGTAACACTAAACTGTGGCTTGGCAAGGACTACAGCAACTTCATCAAGAAAGACTGGACCCTGCTGGACAGGCCTTTTGAAGGTACTGAAAACCTCTTTCAGCATATATGGAAGGTTAGAGCTAAAAACGTTTACTCAATTTATTAATTTCTCTTGTGATGTAAGAACAAGACACCTTTTCCACTGTTAATGTGTCAGATTCTGTATATGTCAACTGAAACATAAATTAATAATGGTAAAGAAATTACATTGCAGACACCCTGTTGAGTTAAAACTTTGTTGAAGCACCTTACACCTGACAGGTAGACGACTGAAAGCACGGGAAGGTACCAGAAAGAGCAACACAAAGGAGAGACATTCTCCTTGAAATGTATAGAGCTGAACTGTGCTCCTCTGTCCTGTTTGGATTTTTCGTTACTCTCCGTTTCAGGTTGGTCGTTTCGCCATGAATTGTTGACATGTGAGCGACAACATTAAAATCAATAGGTGGCTCAGTAAAACGACCAGCATGGCGAGAAACTGTGACGAATCACAATAATGATGAAGATGTAAACAAGGTGCAATCAAACATGTTGAGGCTGTTTGGCAATTAGTTCGGTTTTGCATAGGGTACGTCATCATGACACACTTTCCTTAATCCAGTCTAGATCCAATTATCAGTTCATTTCTATCCACTGATTACTCGGTGGAATATTTGCTTTTCCTTGTGTGTATGTGTCTTATCTTGTTTCGTGTTATCAACCGATCAAACTAGACCTCACTGATATTTTACAGGAAGACTCAGGAAGTAAAAGCTACCAGGTCTTATTCTATTTTTTTAAGAGGGAGCGATTTGTGTGGGAGGATTTGAGGGGTCTCTTTGGGCGACATTTGGTTTATGCTACTTACCAGTTGATGGCGGTGATGCTACATTAAGCAGCCATTAAACAAGAAGAAGGAGAACCAATCGCAGTTCCTAGAAGACAGTGTCACACATGAGCGTGTAGAGTGTTAGTTCCTTAAAGCTACAGTATGTAACTTTTAGAAAAATATGTTTGTCATATTTGTGATAGTGTAAAATGAGACAGATAATTTGTGAAAGGATTGAGCTCCTCCACCTCCTCTCAGAGCTACTACTGCCGTAGACGCTCCGCTCCTGGTCAAAAACAACCAACCAGAGCCAGGAGGAGTGTCTTAGCGCTGTCGATAAACCTTGTGTATGCACTGCTAAATGTGCTAATGGCAGAGAAACAACTTGCCATCCAGGAAATCAGATCAGTGGCCATGCTAACTAGCCTGAGTGTTCATGGCAGCCTCTGTTGTGGTGAACCAGCTGTAGCGTAGCAGAGAGAATGGGGGAAGATGAGAGAGCACATACACAGGGATGATTCACAGCGCTAAGACCCTCCTCCTGGCTCTGATTGGTTGTTTCTGATGGAACAGTGTATTTGTTCAGATGACAGCAGCTCCGTAGGGAGAAGGCAGAGAAGCTTGATTTCTTTTCCACAGATTTTCTGTCTCATACTGTCACCACCTGGTGACAGTTTTAACAAATATGTAAAACACTTTTTTTTTTTCTAATAAAAGCCACATGCTGCTGCTCTAACACTCAAACCCAAACCAGTTGCGTGTAAGAACATGAGGATTCTGGTATACAAAGCGCACTTGAGCTAGCGGATGAGCTTAATATAATTTTTTCTTTTTTTTTCAGACAACATTGACCGCACTGAAGTTCCTCGCATGCCTTGGCGTGACCTGTCTACAGCTGTGCACGGCAAAGCTGCCAGGGATGTTGCCAGGCACTTCATCCAGCGCTGGAACTTTACTAAGGTAAGGCTTTAATGCTTATATTATTAACATTTTGAGTTTTAGTGAACATGTTGAGGGTGCAAAATTCCTACTATTACAGATATTTAAGAGGGAGGGCATATAACAGATGCTTTAGGGGATTTCAGTCATGTTATGACTGGACTTTCACTGTTAAAGTATGTTTTGGGGGGAAGGGGGTTAGATAAAAAGAGCAAACGTATCTTGGAAGTAAACTTTACTGTGTAATTCTTCTCTGATTTTGAATCCATGCATTCAAGTTTTATGTCTTCCTCAGATCTTCAAGGTCAAGTACAAGGATAACTTCTACCCCTACCTTCTCCCCAAGTCTCACACTGAGGCAGACTTGTTGCCATTTATTGTTCCTGGATCCCAGAAAGCCAAAGTTCAGGTAGTTGATTACACACACGCACATGCACACACACATGCACGCCCTGTATGTCTTTCTATTTTCACAGGAACTTTGCATTGACTTCCATACATTTTTCATTAATTTCTATAGACTAACCCTAAACCTACATGCCTAACCCTAAATCTAACCTAAACTCAAGTCACACCTTAGTCCTAAACCTAAATCCTAACTGCTCCTTATGGGGCCCAGGCTTTGGGTCCCTTAATGAACAATCAGTCCCCACAGAGTAGCTCAGTGAGCCGTTTCACTTTGTTGTTTTTGCTGCTTTGACTGTTCAGTAAAACGTCCTGAAAACATGTTTGAATTGACATTCAATGGAAGATGGCTTCTTGTCATACCAAATAAAGTATATATGAATTTACCAAAACTGCAGCAATCTCAAGGAATGAACACCTGCTGAATGAAGTCTTGCTCTCTGTTGCTGCAGTCTGAATAAAGTTGAGCTACCTTCAAAGAAAATCTAGTTTCCTTTTAAACAGCTTAAAATACCTCTGCACCTCCCCTGACTTCGGTTTTAAATACCTCATTCATATCAAGAAAGGCTAACTAGGAGAGTTCTTTCCAAAGTAACAAGTTTGCCACCAACGTTGTGGCCTCTATGACTTGCAAGCACCTAAATATAATCAGGTCAGTGACGTGAAAAAGATTTTCAGACCACCATTCAGGGCTGGTGATTTCACAGCTTTTATGCAAACATTGAGTAAACTAAATAAAGACTGCTCTGTTGTCATGTCCTAGAAAATCTCTGAATTTAGTTGTGGATTGCATCTCTCATTCAGAATGATAGTAGTGAAACAAATGCCTCAGTGACAGCACCAAAGATGGGCCTGACATAAACCAGACTCTTTTGGTCCAATACAACAGAGAAAAGAAAAATCCCAGCGGCTTTACTTCAGACGGTAGAGTAGAATCTGTCCCTGAATGCCAGAAAGCGATACCGCATTACAGTGGATGTAAACGGTGTAACATATTATAATTTAGGAAGGCTGGCGATGTTGGTGTGATGTGAGACAGGCCGTTGAAACTGAGCTTGAATGTCCCTCCTGACATTGTCTCCAGATTAGATTTACACAGGAAATCAGACGGATAACCTTGCAACAAAGAGACACTGTTCTGGCTTCTGAAACACAGCGTTTCAGTGTTCACGCTTCTTACGCTGCGGCAGATGGTGGAACAAAAGTAAAGCCTGTAGAGCGAAATTACTTCCAGCATTTTTGTACTTGTTTGCAAAGCCAGAGAAAACACTATCGAAGAGTGGGACAGAGAGTAGAAGCATCTTATTTCCAACAGGAATCTTTAAAGCTGGGTTTCAGAAAGGAGACCAGGATTGGACCTTTCCAAATTAACAATAATGCTAGAAGTGCAAAGAAGTCATGACAACATTAGTGTGGAAGCAGGCTGACTGGCTCAGACCTGCTGTATTAAATGGCTTGTTTAAAATTGTTCAAACACTGAGCATTGGGCATATACATTCAAAAAGCATTAGCTGCTGATGTGCTTACGTTCTTTTATTCCAGCGTGGGCGGTGGTCTGTAACTGTAGCCCTTGTGGCCCCATTATGTTGTTTTCCTGCTTGCTATTGTGGCTGCGTTATTCAGGTTTCACGGCTCTCTGGTTACATTTGATGTTGCCGCTGGCGCAGGTGCGCCGCTGTTCGCTCCGCCAGCCAAGCATCCTTAAAATTAGTGGAAGTAATATTGGATTATCTTTGTTAGATTTAGGTTCGCTTCATTTGCAAAAACAAAACAATTCGTCTATTGGAAGTGTTCGTCTGCTTTTGTAGTAAACCAAAGTAAAAGTATGAGTTTTATTCTGAACGTTTCCTTCCCTCCCACTCTGTTTTTTGCATTCACTATGGCCCGTTGTCCTCATACTTGATAAATTGTCCTGGAAGAATCGAGAACTCTGGGAATTTGTGTGTGTTATTTCCTCAGGTGCTGCGCTCTTCCGAACGCTGGTCAACCGGAAGCTGTGAGAACTCGATCCTTCAGGCCTACATACACACCATTGAGAACAGCGAGCACTACATCTACATTGAGGTAAAACAGCAGAACGTACTTATTTGTTCCTGCATATTGGCAGCATTGGCAAATTTCACATTTCAGAATCATTGCATCTCTAAGTAGTTTCATTTCGGACACCGTAAAAATGGCCTTGCTTCAGTTTTATTTTTTGTACAATTTTTATTTGACATTGTTGACGCTGCTTTTCTTCAAGGTGATCACACATAAATTATCATCATTTTTATTTGTGGAGTTACAAATAGGATGCTTTATGAGATATGTGTCTAAAACACATTTATTTCACTTCTCTGACAGATTTGGTGCCTAATTGAGGTTTCGTGGATGCTCTTTGCCAGATTCCTGTCTGCTTTTGCCCTCGCCTCATACTGAGTCACCATCTGCCTTTTCTCTGCCCTTAGAACCAGTTCTTCATCAGCTGTGCGGAGGACAAGGTCGTCCACAATAAGATCGGGGATGCAATCGTTGATCGAATCCTGCGAGCACACAGGTGGGATTTCTCTGACAAGACAGATGTAAACTATGATTTATTCATGTTTTATTGGCACATTTATGTAGAGCCAGTTTGTAAAAGTTTAGGTTAATTAAACTTGTGCTCCAGCTAGTAGAAGATTTGATGTAAGAGTTTTGTTTATCAATTATTCAGCTTCTCACTGAAGTAATAAAATATTGTTTTGCCCTTATGAAGATATATAAAAGGTACTAGCCAGTCAGTCCGTTCAGATGTAGTTCTATAGAACAAGTTAATGCAAGTTTTTTTTTTTTTCTGTTTGCCTTGCAATTTGATTTTAAACATTATTTATTCAAGACTAACTACCTGCTAAACCAGTTCCTTGTGTTCAAGCCGCTGGTTACATCTCATAAGAAATAAGGCAGTTTTTAGAGTTCTTTTGAATACATCCCTTTTACATTTTTTTTTATCAAATTCCACTTTTAAAAACTGTTTATGTGGCTGTTTATGTGCTTATGTGAAACCTGCAGGCCTCTTTATATGAGACCTGCAGGTTTTATTTAAGTTAAAACAACAATGAAACCCGAAGAGTGGCACAAAGTTCTGAGGAAGACCATTGCTAGCATCAAATAGCGTCACAGTTCATGTCAGAATGCATCATAGCCATTATAATAATACTGTGTGTCAAATACGTATAATTAAATCCATTTAAACTCAAATTCAAGTTGAATGCTTCAGGATCTATATCAAAATCTGTCAAAAGTCACTCATTTGTCACCCTTTTTTCTGTATCCCCCTGATTGATCTTTTCACCTCTTGCAATCGGCCCAAATGCATTCAAGCAGTGTTTTTTTTTCCCCGTTTGTACACTTTAAAAAGAAAAAAAAAAAACACCTACCACTGTATGTTAGTACCTTTAAAGTTCAGTCTGTGCAACTGGAACCAATCAGCCATTGTTTTTCCCCTGCAGAGAGCAGAAGACGTACAGGGTGTTTGTGGTGATTCCTTTGCTTCCTGGCTTCGAGGGAGACATTACCACTGGAGGTGGAAATGCAATTCAAGCCATTATGCACTTCACTTACAGGTAAGATCCTTCTCCTCGCATTATCATTCTGCTCTCAGCCCACAGCACAGAAATAGCACAGGGAATGCACTTTTCACATCCTGTGGATCAGCACTGAGACATTGAGACATATTTTCTTTCATGATAAAGTTATTCAACGTATATCTGTACATATCTATTTATCTCACTAACCCAAAAATGCTGAATTATATTTATCATGTTTGTTTGGGAAAGGACTATGTGCCGCGGAGATCACTCGATTCTGTCAAGGCTCAGAGAGGGTAAGTTTTTGATTGCTCATCTGTTTTGTTTATCATTTAACCTGTCATTCACGAGAGAACCCAAAATGACAACCTGTGAATGACAGGTTAAAAATCCATCCACTCACCTCCTGCTAAAAATCTCTTCTGTTTGTCTTTCTGTTCCTTCATTTTTCTTGATTTTTTATTTTTATTTAAAATTTGTAAGAAGCTCTCGTGTCTGTTTGAGTTGTTTCTAAATCTTCCCAGTAATATTTTCTACAGTAAATAATGCGATTGTGATCTGTGCCCCAGTGAAGGACCAGTGGACTGAGTACATCACATTTTGTGGCCTCAGAACGCATTCCCGGCTCTCCGAGAAGCTGGTCACAGAGCTGATCTACGTTCACAGCAAGGCACTCATTGCTGATGACCGCCGCTATATAATTGGTGAGACACTCATTCAAGGAATCCAGTCAGTTGTTAGAGAAATCATGTAAACTGCAAGTTTTTAGTATTTTTTTTTTATCCCCGTTATTTTCCATAAATACCTCAAGGTAAAAAAAAAAAGTGAAAAAAGAAATTACTCCTAAATTCTGGCATTTGGGATATCTAATCTTTAATTATTACACCTTGTTGGACCAGAGAGAAGGGAAGTAGCAAACTGCTGCGTTAGCCATAAGAAAAGAAAAAGGATGTTCCAGATTTAATGTTCAATTGAAATCGTTAACGTCTTTGCATATTAGAATTTGCCAGCCTTAAAGAGAAAAATGTTAGTAAACGTACCCATTAATCACGACTGAACACAAGAAAAGCTAAAAAAAAAATACATTGAACCAGTATTATTGCTTTTAAACAACTGCTTTAAAATATGTCATTTAAATGAACCTCTTGTTTCTACGTGTGCTTCAGGGTCAGCCAACATCAATGACCGCAGCATGCTGGGCAGCCGAGACAGCGAGCTGGCAGTGCTGGTGGAAGATGAAGAGAGGGTCCCATCCGTCATGGGAGGACAGGAATACGAAGCAGGACCGCTTACGCTTGCTCTGCGCAAAGAGTGCTTCAGGTCGGCACCGAACATTGCTACTGAGATAACACCCTAGTATCGATCATGGCTGTTTACTTGGAGTGTCAAACTAACAAAACGGTCAAACATTTAATCTGCAGCGCAACCCTAAAAGGTATCCATACCTACGCAAGGATAAGTTTCCCAAGATCTTGCTGAGACATTATTCTCTGACTTAATCACAAAACCCAGATTTTGGGCCTGATCAGCAGTTTCTCGCTGGAGCTGGGTGCTCACTCTTGATTGTTCCTCTTTCCGTCAAAAAAGAATTACTTTAGTTTCGTTTCGGTTCAGCTGAAGAAAGTCATGACCATGCAACAACCATGCAATGGTTTGTTGAAAGCATCTGCTCAGCGCCGGAATGGGTTCATAGTCACGTAGGGCCTCATAAATAAACAATGTGCACACAAAAAAGTCTGCAGCACAATATGCATGGCAGCAACGCAAACTTTTTCAGCTGACCACAACAAACCACAAAACCCCAGACCACACCTAAATACACTGAAATATGAACCCATTCAGTGTTATTTAACTCTGAATGGATGGATGCATCAAACCCAATGTTTCTTCATGGATTTAACCTATTACTGTTTAAATTTAAATGATGAAACTGAACCATGTATAGCTTCGTACAGTAACATAATGCACACGAAAAAGATTATGGGAAAACCTCAGCCTGTGGCCAAGGCAGTCAATCCTGTAGCTCTCTTTTCAGATCCCTGCTGAATATAAATGTGTTCAAACAAGCATTCTCACTTTAATTGATCAACATGTCCCATTATAACATTCTCCAAATTTTCAAGTGAAAAGATGTAAATATAGTTGAGAATCGATGCCAAGATTTGAAATTTTGCATAGGCTTAAGCTCATTTGGAAAGATAAATTGAAAAACTATTAGTACGTAGCTCCGTAAAGCTGGCAGAGGCATGCTCCCCATAAAACCTGCTATTGTAAAAGCAATGATAGATGTTTATATAAAGGGTAATCTCAAAGGGGGTAAATAAGATCAATACATTTTTCAGAATTTATTATTATTATACTGTATAATCCCAATGTACTGTATAACCCCAATAAAATAGAAGTTTGTTATTGTAATGTAAGATGACATAAAAATGTTCAAGGCTCACAAATACTTTTGCGAAAAGAAAAAAAAAAGCATTGTACAGTGCTTTGAAAACTTTCGTTGATCAGCATTTTGTGTTGTTCAAATGCACTCTGTGGAAAATCCAAACAGCATTTAAGTTCTGTGTTGCAACAGGGTCCTGACTGGAGCAACTTCAGACCCCAGCATCAACATTGACGACCCAATCAGCGACGACTTCTTCTTCCTCACGTGGAATGAAACGGCAAAACGTAACGCCATCATTTACGACAAGGTATGATTGAACGTAAATGACGCATTACTACTGTTTGCCACCATTATGCTACGTTCACACTGCAGCCTGAAGTGACCCAATTCTGATTTTTTTTTTTTTTGTCAAATGCGACTTGTATGCGTTCTCCAGTGTGAACGGCAAATGACCTGAAAGTGTCCCACATGCGCAGTAGAGGGCGCAATAGTGTCACTCATAGAGAGCATGCTCAGTGTTTTGCCAACCGCCACAAAGAAGAAGAAGAAGAAGAAGAAGAGCTCAGTGTTTGTGGAAGTAAACATGGATGCTAATGGTGGAGCTAATGGTGTCACTGTAATAACTTAATCTTCTATTTATTAAAACAACGAAATCTTCTGGTCCGCCATGGTTGTTGTATCAGAAAACAGAATAGTGACGTTGGTTGAGTGTCAATGACGTTCAGGTCAGATGAATGACACTTGGTCACATTTGAAAGGATAAGTCGGATAATTATCGGATAACCAAGTGGCCTGGATCACATTCGAAAAAAATCTGACGTGTGTTGTTCAGACTGTCATGAAACGATCAGATGCAGGTCGCATTGGGTCACTTTGGGCTGCAGTGTGAACGCAGCCTTAGTTTCGGGTTTCTTACCTTTCCGTTCTATCCATCAGGTTTTCAGATGCCTTCCCTGTAACAGTGTTCACAACTTGCTTCTGCTGAAGAACTACGGCTCTCTAGAACGCCTCTGCGACACAGACCCCGAGCAGGCGGCAGAGGAGCTGAAGGCCATCCGAGGGCTGCTGGTTCACTTCCCGTTGAAATTCCTGTGTGAGGAAAACCTGCAGCCTCCTCTGAACAGTAAAGAAGGGATGGCTCCTACAGACCTTTGGACGTAACCACATGTCTGCCTAGATCAGGCCACTACGACACTGATACAGTCGTTGCTAACCTGTACCTAAATCCCAGCACACAAAACGAACTATAACACCAGCTCCCACATTGAAACAGTTTATGGGTCAAGCCTAAATCTAGTCTGGCTCAAATCACTTAGAGTTTAGAATAACAGACAAACCTGTGCTGGCCAGTTTATTCATGATGCCCATCACGTAACTTCTATGAACCAATGGTAGACGGTATTGTAAACTCATATAAATGAATGTGTGTGACTCATTGGAGGGCTGCGAGGTTGGACTGGTAATCAACCATCTCCCATGATCTGGGAACATAGTGTACATTTACGGGTGCAAGATTTTTATTTTTTTTTTGTTGGTGGGTGGCTCTGTCTCTTTCTCTCTCCGACGCTCTCACTCTCTCCCTCTGAGGCTTCACCTCTCACTGCAGTGCCAGGAAACCTGTCAGAACATTTGTGGTTGTTATGGTGACGGATATAAAGAGATGACTGGATCGCAGCTGAAATAAAGGCTCGATGGGGCAGAAAAGGAGAGCGCTGATAGGAGGGATGGCTTACTAAATTGGGATGGTGTGCCAGAAAAAAAAAAGAAAGCAATATTGCTGATCGAGGACGTGGGGACCAGTTACTTCTGTGTCATTTTTATATTTAAATGTGAGAGAGAAAATATATTTAGCTGGTGCGTCGTTGAAATCTTGTTAAATTTTTCTCTTTTTTTTACTGTTATATCCAAACGGACTGCCTGGAGTCCACCACACAACATTCCACACTCTGTTGGCATTCTGCAGCTACTTCCGTGTCGTGTCTAGGAGCCATGAAGAGTCTTGTGTGTCTACCTTATGTTATATTTGCTCACAGGCATGAGGCATTTGTTGAGGTCCAGCTGAGAAGTTACATAATGTGTCTGACACACTTCTTTCTACCCAACTGCTCAGATTGATCACTTGTTGACCAACATGCAAATCTCTTGGACTGGACTTTGTTTTTGTTTTTTTTATATATATATATATATTTTGTTTCCTAATTTGGGGAAAACCTACTGCACAATGCCTTGCAAAAATATTCATAAACTCTGAAGTTTGTCACATTGCTACATAGGATATTACATAATATGATTTTATGTGGTTTGTCTACACAAAGTAGAGGTTCTTTCATGAAAAGTAAAAACATTTTTATTGTTTAAACATGTTTAGCCACTAAAAATGTGAAAGAACCCCCTTTACTGATATCCCTAAATAAAACTGAGTGCACCAACAACTAGCTTAAAAAATGAACTGATTCATAAATTGGAATATTTTTGCAAGGCGCCATGCATTAACTGAATGACAAAGATGTGTTTGAAAAATATGTTCTTGCCCTTTAAAATGTGTTCCTAATTAGATGCACACTTTTAAGACTGGAAGCTCGTCAGGTTTTTAAATAAGAAATTAGCGTCTTATATCCCTAACGGTGTGAAAAAGTCTGCATTGTATTTGTTTTTGTGCATGTGTGTCCAAAGGGGGTAAACAGGATTCACTAATGTAACAACACCATGTTGTTTTTCAAGTTAAATTGTACTAAGCTGTCAGATAAGCCCAGGTTAAGTGCACTACTTCTTGGTTTCAAACTGGTGTGATAAATATGACTGACGGATGCCTCGTGTGAACTCGCTCTACACAAAGCTCCTTTTACACAGGAGCCAGAAAAACCCATCTGTGTTTAGACACATTACTCTGCTGGTTTCAAAAATAGTCACACTGTGAAGAAAAAAAACACCACTCTGAATCTTTGCACAGTAGAAGCTGGCATTTTTACTGGTTCTTTCGCGTAAGAAAAAAAAAATGTTTGAAGTGCTACACTTTGTGATAGGAAAGCAGAAATGTCTTTAACTGACCAACAAGTGATCTTATAATCATTTTGTTTGTATTAAACTAGGAACCAACCTTGGGAAGTCATTTTATGAATGTAATACTTGAGAAATATTTTTCATTGCATATTATCAAAGTCTATATTTACATTTTTAAAACCATTTTATATGTAGATCTGTAGATACGATAAATGAGGCACTAACACTGAGGGTAGATATGATTTTCAAATTGTCTTCCTAACTACCATTTTTACTATAAGCTGTGCTGTTTTTCTTATTTCTTCATACTTGTTTTTAATTAAAGTTGGATCGATGTCTGTTCTCATATTGTTTTGTAATCACTATAATCTTTTAAACCTCTGTAATTTGAGATTTCACATTTATTTTAACCTGCAATAAAAAACATGTTAAATGTAATTGCGTGTTTACAGTTATTACTATACAATTTTTTATTTTATTATTATTATTTTTATTATTATTATTTATTTATTTTTACAATTTTTTTAGATTGCAGTTGCTTCAGATTGATAGAAGTCTGGTAAGTAGTTATTAGCTTCAGCTTTTGTGACCAGTTTTATTTGAAAGTTATACGTAAGGAAGATGAGTTATCTACTGCAAATATTCACTAATGACCTCTAACCTCATTGTTATGATTCTGAACTATACCTTTAAATAAAAAGGTATAGCTATTTATAATGTAAACATTCCAGTTTCACAGGAATGTTCACTGGGAAACAATGCTGTGACGTGAAGCTTGTTAACAAGCACCTTGTACAGATGCAGAAATGCAGACCTTATTAATACAACTGTGCGTTCAGTTTCCCAATTTGTTAAAATGAATTATTTTATGTAGAAACAAATGCCTAGCTACCAACAGGTTTTACTTGCTAATTCCATCTTTGAGCTTCTCTGTGAATGGCGACATAGAGTTATAGAGTCTCAATTATGCATGCATCAGACCGTTCTCTTGAACTCTTTAGAGGTGAATTATGCATTATTTTAAAAACTCATGATCTGTTGAAAACAATGTAGGCAAATGTAGCAATCATGATTTGGGTCAATGGCATCACAATAGGAACATGAAAACAGCTGACGGGATATTAGTAAGATTTTCTTTGATTGTGACAGACTTCATGTGCAACTCCACTCAAAAAAATTCTGCAATAGTGTAGAGGAAGGGGCTGGTTTTCACCAGGTTATGACAAACTCTAAAGGGTTCAAATTGTGTTTGAGTTGCAAGAAATTTAAACTTCCATTTTTGAGCCAGTAGCACTCGTAATGTTTACTGGTGATTGATAATGGCAATAATTGTTCAGAACTCTTAAGTGGTACAGGTTTTTCTGTATTCCTATTTAATTTTTTACCATTTAGTGCATATTCTATGCTCATCAAATAAGTAAAGACTGTGTTCCTTTTGAAATCGTTTGTTTTTCCAGTACAGTGGCTTTACGCTACTTTACATTTCCACCGTTCTTATTGTTGAACAATGGAAATTTTTTCTTACTGTTTAGGTACTAAATTGGCATGGTTTTTATTTACTTAATACTTAATTGTTTTATTAACAAATTTTTTCTTTGCGGTGAAAAACAACTTATGGGACAAGACTTCAGATGTACAGAAAAAGGCCCATGTAGAGCTATTCTGTGCTTATACTCCTACACCTGTTTGCCTCATGTGATGTCATCAGAAACCTGGAAAGCTATTTTTAGGACAGTAGATTTTATCTTCATTCTCAAATTATTTCCAACTAAACAAATTGACCAACTAGGACATTGCGTTCTAAGTGACAAATCGAAAGTCAGTTTAACTGAATTACAAAGAAGTCTGGTATGTTGCTTTAAAATTGTAGAGTTGGGTGGGTTCATCATAGTTTACTTATTAATGCCAAACACGAACGAACAGCATATTAACTTTTTAGGGTGTGTTCAGGTGAGTTTGAATGAATGACTCCGACATGGCAGCTCAGAGCAGACATATCTGAAGTTAAGGTCCACTCTTACTTTTTTTTTTCATACAAATTTGTCCCTACTGCAGCTCCGTAGTCCCTTTCTGGAGCAGAAAACACTTGAGGAGTGCTGTGTGCAGCCAATCGTCATTACATTAAAGGCTGGAAGTAGGAGGCTGGACTTAGGAGTCAAAACATGGCGAAATAACAAGTTTCGCAGGTAGAAGCTACGCCGTACCTGGTACCATTGGACTGCAGTTTCGACCGAGCTGGACGCTGGAGGAGACGACAGTAGCCTTTAAGTTTAGCGAACGGATGGCTGCAGTCTTTTAAGTGTTACGGACCTAGAGCCTGCCTGTGTTTTCCTCCGGAAGGTTGGCAGTGCTAGGCGCGACTGTCAACACAGAAAAAATATGGACTGAGAAGGAAAGTTTATCCTGGGGAAAAAGCTTGCTAGCTCTGCTACGTTAGCTGCGGGTTGATGAAAGGCACACACCTGACTCAGTACTCTGATTACTTTGCGGTCGGCTTGAAAAAGTGGGGTGTTTATTATTATTATTATTATTTTTAGTCGTCGTATAAAGTTTGACACGAAGAAACAGTGGGAGCTACTTTTTTTTTTTTTCCAGTCTTTTAAGTCAAATTGTTCGGCTTGGATTTAACTGCAGTATTCCGTTCATGTAAGGCAGCCAGCGCCAGTTTGACGTTCGGTTCTGGTGCGGACGGACCCGGACGCCATCACATCACAGACGTTGCGTTCTTCTTAAAAAACAACCACTGCGTTGAACAAGCCCGCAAATTTCTTTTATATATTAATTGTCAGCACAATTAAATAGTGCTCTTCCGTCAAAATCGGGTAGGAGTTTTTTTTTTTTTTTTTCTTGTCATTTTCTCTGCTTGCATAATTTTACTAGGGATGTTTTACAGCGGCAGAGACGCGGCGTCTTGTCAAAATGAACGCAGTAAGGTGTTCAACAACACTGGAGGTGCGCTGCGTTTAAAACCAACCAGTTATTAGCTCGGTACTAATGGCCGGCTGAACTGGAACGGTGCCATTTTGTTAAAAAAAAAAAAAAAATCTTATTTTACATTCGTTGTGTTTCAATCAGAATTTCTAGCTGACATTTTTCTAAATCAGCTGCGGAAAACATTACAGCTCTCGGGCAGAGTTGACGTGAGCTAGCCTGCTGGGTGCGTCTGAAGCAGCCCCTGGGATGGACTTGCTATATTGAAGTGTTCCGCGTTGATATATAAAATCAGTTTTCCTGTATGATATTGATAGATTAGGCTCGTGGGCAGCCATTTATTTCTTCCTGTCAAAGTTCTTCTTGTGTAATAAGTGGCTAACTTGTTAGCTAACGTCATAAGTTTGGCCAGCTATGTCTGAAAACGCCCCCACACGAAGCCTGGATGACATAGACCTCGCAGCTCTCAGGGTGAGTATTATTACTATCATTATTGCAATTATTGCAAGGTGCAGTAATTTAGCCTTGTTACAGTCGCAGCAGTCTCTTTAGATGTTATGTCATTTTTGAGTTTTCCTCTGACACAAGCACAATCATGTTGCACCCACGCAACAAACTTAAATCAAACCAACACCCCCCAAGTCCCCCAGGGCTCTGTGTGCTGTGGGCAGCTGGGATGTTTACAACCACAAATCACTGCAAAATGTATCTTCTGATTTATCAAAATCTTATACTCTTTTATTCCATGCCTGCTTCCTAATACTTTAAACAATTTTCTATCGGTTTTTAAAGGCATGTTTTCTCTATAATCATCCAATCTTGAACCATATTGTCAAGGACATTGTAAGGATTTCAATTGATTTGAGAGTGAGACTTCTTTTTTTTTTAAAGTTGTATTTTTAGACATTTTTCTTGTCCCAGGCAGACTTTTAGTGACAAATGCCATAAGTACCACCACATCCTTCTTTTCATGATAAACAACAACATTCTCTGGCTTGATATTTGACCACTGGCAGGGTTTCTTTAGTGACTTTACTAGCTTTTAGTTATCTTTCTTTACTTTGCTTAATTTACACATTTTTGTTAGGTTTGTGATAGAAATAAATCACCACAAAGTTTAATGCTAGCCTACTTTATCCATTCAAAAACTCATTTGATGTTCTCCTGAAACACCCATTTGTGTTCAAGCTAGCAGTTAATTTGAGTTGAAGTTAAATAATTTGGAGGCAGTAGTTTATTTCATTACTCCATCCACTTTGTGACATGCATCAAAACATACTCTAAAAATGATGTTTTACCCTCACTGTCTCTGGCATTTGGTACAGTGTTCTGAGATTTGAACGCCTCATCTTTGTTTGTCCACATGGACTGTTGCATTGAAACCAATTTTCAATGTTCAAAATAGCTGAATGTTAAGCTTTTGAAAAAGTAATAACCATGTTGAAAATGTATGTAATGTGCTTAGAATTCACATTCATGCAAAAAATAAAAATACTGATTTAAATGGGGTTTAGTGACTCTGATAAAGAGAAGTTAGAAATGCCCATACTTTGTTGTTCACTATAAAAATAATATAGCTTTGTTACATTTTTCATAGAGGTATACGTTTATTTTGTATGTGAAATGAGTCTAGAGGCAGGTACACTGATATTGGCTTTAGGACGCCATGAAGTTGCAAATGTATGGACATTAGACAAAAGGTAGAGAATTACCAAATATGATACAGATCATATTTGACCTTCCTCTTTATTACTTTTCGGTGTTATTTATCAAAATCTGCATCCCCAGATGCTTTTGTGTGAACAAAAGGATTCGTTTTAACATCCCTGCATGTCCATCGGACTGATGCCGTTCTTCAAAAACAAATCCATTTAAAATCAAATCTCTTCCACTAACTGGTGCAAAGGCATCAAGTGACACTATATTCCACAAGATGCTAGCTAAACGGACAATTGGAAAAAAACGAGGTTCTTCCACACTGCTTCTTAGATCTAGAAATTAATTTCCTTTTCCTTTTATATATTACTATTGGTAGAAGATGTTTAGGTCCACTTGCTGCTTAAGTCACTAAAGTACTCCTTGAACTTTATCTGTTCTCTGTGCTTCCATTTTTATTGTAAGGTTTTATCACCAAATTCTACTTGGCCAGCAGCACCCACCAGAGACAAGTGTGAAAATGTTCTTGTGATTTTGGAAATTGACCATGTAATGGCGCCATGTAGAGTTGAATCAGAAACAAAAGTTAGGCAGTCTTCATGTTTATCATCAGTTGTATTTGTTGGTGCTTGGCTGCATTTCTTGGATGTTGCCATCACCTGTTGATTCATGGAATCCCATGCAATCACACATGGCTACGTGTCTGCATTGTGTTCGAGCTTCGAGTCGGTTCTGCTAACTAGCATGATTACAGTTACTATTACAGTGACCTCATTGGAAGAACATACTGTAGTTAAAATATGTCAAATATCAACGATCGTCTCAGTGGCTCGATCATAATATTAAAAAATATTAAATGATTTTTATGTAAAGACTTGCAGCACACATTCCTTAGCAATTAATTTGAACAGGATTATTTATTTGATTTAATTTATCTGGAGATTGGTGTTTCCAGGTGACATCGTTGGTTACATTTTGAGGATTGGGAACTTCTGGACGAAAATCTGAATTGGAGCATAAGTTTGATTCATTTTTGTTGCTAGAAATCTAGAAATACATTCTTATGTTCTAGATTTAAGCAGAATTTTTGACAATGTGATAACGGCTAATCAAAAAAAAAAAAATCACACCAAACCTCAGAGAATTAAGCTTTAGGAAAATGAAAAAATATTATGGATTTGTTGTAATTAAGCACGTTTTCAGCCTTTGTGTCCAAGTCTAATGACTGGAGAATAGCTGTAACATTCTTTAGTCCTTATTTTTCTGGATAATCTGTAAAGATTTTCTGTTTGTTGTTTCTTTTCCTGAATGTCGGCTAAATGATAACCGTACAGGAAATTTGATATTTACTTCCTTTAGGAGCTTCATCCCCCCTCCAAATACTCTGATGCTAGCTTATCAAAGCTTTATGTTACAGCAGAATAAGCAGTTTAATTTTTCTCCATTATTTAAAAAAATAAATAAACATATCATGTACCAGAAATAATGAGCATTTATCTGTAGCCACCCGAGCTGAACACATTTCCCTCCCTTTTTCTTATTGTTGTTTCATTCTTTTTTCTTTTTCAAAGCTGATTTGCTCATGCTAATGTTTGAATATAAATGTACCCTTCCCCTTCCCCTTCTTTCGGCTCATTCGTCTTATCCCACTCTCTGTGCCGGATGTGGGTGAAGCTACCACCTCTGCCTCATCGCCCACTCTGTCATTATATTATTCCCTTCCATACCATCATTCTCTTCCCTCCTGTTTTATGCCACATCTCTTCCTCTTTTACCTATTCATAAGATCCTTCAGAGTGTTTAACATTAGATGAGCTATCGCCTTTAACACCCAATTCATGGTATTTTTTTTCCCTGGATGTTTCACAAAACTGTGACTTTGGTTTTTCACATCCGTCTCTGACCCTGAAGTGAAAATCTTCATTTAGGAGGTAGAAGACCCATGATTGGAGATAGATGAAAGCAGGATAGGTCATGGTGTACATTTTAAACCCAAGGCAGCAGTCTCACCACCCACACATCTTCTTAAAGCCATATTGAAATTACATGAAAGTGGAACTGCTTGTCATTTTCCCTTGTCTCTAGGGTGAGGGGGTTGCATAATTTAGTCAAAGCAACCTACTCGTTATTAGTGTCAGTAAGATCTGTGTGTACAATGCAGAAATTTACATGGATCAAATCCAGAAAAGGAAGGAAAATTGATCTGAGAATTTAGATTTGTGTCTCATGCACTATAAAAAGTTGAATGCACTGTGATTCTTTCCTTTTATATTTTTAAAAATGTATTTTCCTAATTCAAGTCTTATCAGTGGGAACGGAAAAGTTAGAGGATCTCTTTGCCGAAGAATGTTTAATTTTAATTGGCTTGAAATCACAGAGCAGATATCATTCCAGTTTATGCTATAAAAAGAGCTGCATGGTTAAGTGACGTATCTACGTCAAAGTTTACGGTAGTATTCACACTCACAGATTATAAAATCCATAAAACGTACTTATAAAACGTACTTGTACCGTATCCAGTCATTTTTATGACTGGATACGGCATCCATATTGAAGCATTTATAAGAACAAGTGGAGTTTCTTTGACGATGACTCTTTATTTACTGAAGAAAACTTGGGTGTAACAAGGTAGCACACAACCTGTCAACATGTGGAGGACCTCTTAAAAAACTAAATAAACATGGTTTACTCTGTTTATTTGTTTTAAGTGAACATTTTCTCTAGTATGTGAAACCAAAAGAGCAAACTCAGTTGACATTATTCGTACAGTGAGACTTTTTAATAATCTTTTTGTATTATGTTGTTTTTCTGATCCCAATGTGTCGTTTTCCCAAAGGATCCAGCAGGAATCTTTGAGCTGGTCGAGGTTGTCGGCAATGGGACGTATGGGCAAGTGTACAAGGTGAGCCATTGTGCATGTGAATTTACAAGCACCTCTGGTGTGAAAAGAGAAATAATCAGAGCAAGCACAAATATTTGTATTATTAATGGTCTTTCTAAAAATAAATGTATTTGGAACTTTTTTAACAAAAACTTTACTCATTTAGGTTGATCAGAAAACTCTAGGAACTTAAATTGGCAACCTACGACTTTCCGTTTTTCTGGGGTATAATAAGACGTTGCACAGAGACACTTTTTTTTTTTAACCCATTGATCACTAAGGCTAGAGGAGGATCTACAACCATCTACAGTAAATGAGATGGTAAAAAATTTTAAAAAACAAAGATCTCTAATTCTCGCTGTTGAAGAACAACAGAAGAGAGTAGCATTTTGGGGTTGCCAAGTCTCCGTCACAACTATTGGAGCCATGTCAGGGAAATGTGATTTTTGTGTTGCCATTAAAAGTTGAAATGTGGAGTTTTTGATTAACTCCACTTGGACTTTAACTGGAACTGGATGCTTTTAACAAATAGATGTAGTTTTCTTGGGAACAAAAACTCTTAAGTGAATCTGATTTTTAGCAAATTATTGGGGGAAAACCACTTACTTCCCCACTATTAATCATGGTGGAGGATCTGTGTGACTTTCTTTCTCTTCCAAAGTTCTTGGTCATTCACATTAGAGACGAATGAGGATTTTTAACCAATTGTTGTTGTTTTTTTTTTTTCAACCGATCCCTAATAAATACTGCCGATGTTTTTAAAGCCGTTTCTTGGAGCTGATATTACTAATTTCCACGATAAAAATAATGCATTAATAACAAATGTTAAACAAGTCTCAATTTAAACAAAAATAAAATATTTACAAAACAAAGGATAGCAAAAGATATAGAACAGACACCACTGTTCCCTCAAACTGCAGATGCAGCTTACTGAAGATTGAAAAGTTACCTTTTACCCCCGTTGTTGTTGAAATTCAGTCTTATAACATTATCAGCCTCTTTCTGCCATGGAACGAGAGGCAATGCAAGCTGTCAGGTGATCTTAAGTAGTGATGCACTGATAAATTGGCCTTCATTACCTTAATTTTGGAAGGTTGGTGATCGGCCAGTACTTAAATGTGAAGCCAGTCTTATCCAGTGATCTTATCTACCTTGGCAGCAGTCTAAAATTTCCCCTATATTCTCTTTTGCTCTCCTGTGAGAGAGGTTTGACTCACAGACCGACCCACCAGATCAGGTCTGCACGTCTGCTGTTTACAATCGTCTCCCCACGTTGCTAGTTAGCGTTTCAGTCAAAGCAATCGGCCAAAACCAGGATGGGCAGTTTAGACTTTTTAAAGATTGGCGATCGGCCAGAAAAATGCAACCGGTGCACCCCCGATCTCCAGGCACAACTGCAGAATGCGCTAATGGATCCAACTTGTTCTTTAACAGGGCCGTCATGTGAAGACGGGCCAACTGGCCGCCATCAAAGTGATGGATGTGACGGAGGAGGAAGAGGAAGAGATCAAAGCAGAGATCAACATGCTGAAGAAATACAGCCACCACCGCAACATAGCCACGTACTACGGTGCCTTTGTGAAGAAGAGCCCGCCAGGACACGACGATCAACTTTGGGTCTGTTTATGTTTGTATCTGGTCCAATGACATTATGAGAGCTTTTGTCATTAATCATGCTCTCGTTAAGCGTGTTTGCCTTTGAACAGCTGGTGATGGAGTTTTGTGGAGCCGGATCAGTGACTGACCTAGTGAAGAACACTAAAGGCAGCTCTCTGAAGGAGGACTGGATTGCTTACATCTGCAGAGAGATCTTAAGGGTGAGAAACTGTAGTTTTGACTGTCGGATCAATTATCCAGCAGCCTTTTCCTCTCACTGACTGTGGTTGACTTCTTTGTTTGCAAACAGGGCCTTTCTCACCTCCATGCCCATAAAGTTATCCACAGAGACATCAAAGGCCAGAACGTGCTGCTAACGGAGAATGCGGAGGTCAAACTAGGTACGCTGAAATAAAGATAAAGAGTTGGTTTTGCTGTAGTAGGTCTCACTGCACTGCTCTCAACCCTCTCAATGCAGTTGATTTTGGGGTGAGTGCCCAGCTGGACAGGACTGTGGGGCGGAGGAACACCTTCATCGGCACTCCTTACTGGATGGCGCCTGAGGTCATCGCCTGTGACGAGAATCCGGACTCCACATACGACTTTAGGGTAATCGCAGAAAGGCTGCGTTTATGATCTGTGCTTCCTTGCTGTGAAAATAAAACATTAACCAGAATAACTATATGGCACTTATTTTACAGAGTGATATTTGGTCCTTGGGGATAACGGCCATCGAGATGGCAGAGGGAGCTCCTCGTAAGTGAATCTTCTTCATTGACTTAAATTTTTTTTTTTTTTATTCTGCGTGCATCTATTCAGCATTTGATAATTTTTCATAATTTTTTCAAAGCCAGCTCTGAAGACCTCATGAATGAGTGCGTGTTGTGCTTGCAGCCTTGTTGTCTGTGTCTTCAGATGGACAGCTGACTCACTGTAATTTAGGTAGTGCAGTTGTGAGCTGGCAGTTGGCCTGTGGAGGCTGATGGCACAGATCTCTCTCTGGTTTATGAGGAGATCTCTCTGCTGGAAATCTGGTGCAGAACCAGAGATTGAGAGAATAGTGAAGTGAGGCTAAGACGCATGGTGAAGAATGTTTGGGTTAAACGTGGTAGCTTGTTTTGCAACATTTGACCAATGGTTGCTTGTTTTCAGATGGATTTGTGTGAAGTTTTGTTTAATCTGGGCTTAAAGGGTTAAATGTTACCTTTGATTTTTGTTTTGAAATGGAACAGCTAATCTGCAAATCATAATAAATCTAACAGAAGACTGCTGTGGAAATCCGGGCCTGTCCGTTCCCATGCCGGGAATGGAATGTGTTGTGCATGGGATGATCTGATGGGCTGATGGCGTGATAACCCTCAGCAGACCCACTGTTGTTTTGGTTCTGTTACGGTTCTGAAACAATGGCTTTAAATTGTATCGCCCTATCAAATGATCACCACCAGGAAAGTTGCTCTGATTCAGATTTTTACATCAGAGGGTAGAAAACACTTGAGTGTGTTGAGTGAGATTTTAGTTTTATGCCCCAAAAGTATTTATCTACAAAATAGTCGAAAACTTTTACATAGAATAAACACCTGCTACAGTTAAAGGTATACTTATAATTAACCTAATTTCTTGCCTTCCGCTATGCTTTCAGTAAAGTGCCCTGACAAGCTGCTGACGTTTGGATTAGTTGCCTCAATAGACTGTTTATTAGACCTGGACCAGCAGCTGCAGCTTTTTGCTAACATTTAGTTTAGTGTTACTTTGAGTTTTCGTACTATACTGTTGGAAAATGTCTATAAATTATACTTGGCTTTTTTTGCCCAGGGCGCTAAAGGGAGTCGCCTCCATTAGCACAGCTGATTGACAGCTTGCAGCAACAGGCCAGAGAGGGAGTTGTGTATATATGTGGAGGATGGCAGTAGAAAAAACAGCATCCTTATCATTTGATGTTAAGATTCTTCTTTTGTAGTACTGGACACTGTTTTGACAGTGATGAAATATATATTATATTTTCACGCCTTAAATCCTATTATCTTTGGGATTGCTACTTTAATTTTTTTCCCACTTTTGGTTCCATGATATCATTTAATATCATGGAATATTAAGTGATTGTGAGTTTTTGACTGTAGTGACTGTATGCTGTCTGAGGAATACCATTTATTTCCTAAAAAAAAAGACCTGGTTTTTCTCATTACTTTGTTTTTGATATTCTTATGAAAAGTTCTGTGGAAATAAAATGAACTTACTTAATTTTAAATAAACTTAAACCATGTGTTTGAAAGACTGTGTTTGGTTTTGGTGAATCCGAATCATTTAATGAAAACAAATTGCTATTTTATTTAACAAAATAAAATCTTAGGTCACCTGGTGATCACCAGTGAAAATCTGGGGACTGAAAACTTTGACACCTGGCGCATAACTTAAGAAAAATATGGACGGTGACAAAATTTCACAATTTCTGCCTCTTTGTTCTGGATAAACTGCTTAATTAGGGCTGCTCAAAGTAGTAAGCGTATNTAATNTTGTTCCTGATAATGNTAGGATTTGCACCATGTCAATGCTGGACTGCTTGGTTTTTTATTTCAGTCACAAACCCCAGATCCTGATTTGACATTTATATATTTATTTGTTGAAATTCAACAAATATTGAATTCTTAGCAACTGTAAATATTCTACCCACTTGTATTGTGATGAGGGCTTACTGACCATACTGGTGCTGTTAGATTTAATTAGAGGATTACTAAATGATCATAAAACCTAAATAAATACTACAGATTCCAAGTTTTTAGACATATGTAATGCATAAAGTAGTATTTTTTTTCCTAATTTGCTTTCTTTGTTTACATTATTGGTTAAATGCAGATTCCTTCGTTTTTGTTTGTTTTCTTGTTTTTTTGTAGCAGGATGCACCTTCATCACTTTAAGATGAAATTATTGACTTAGGAACCACTAAATTCTTCTTTTCTTTGCTTCCTTAAAAAACAGGGATTCTCTTGTGCTGTTGTGTGTTGAGGCAGTTTGTTTACATGTGGCTGCTTCAATAAACATGAATGACCAAGGAAGTCATGCAGACTTATGCCATCACGCTGCTGCTGCAGGATAATCTTAGTTTTATCTTTCTGAAAAGTGCTATTTCAGAGTTGCACTGACTTTAAGATATGTTCCTCTAAAGTTTATTTGTTATATTTCCTTTTGAGTATTGATGAGGGTGAAACGTCTAGTTGAGCTTCGTGTTTTTATGTCTTTCTGGTAGATTTAGTCAGTGATACCAGTGTTAACTGGGCAGTACTCCACCTGCAGGCCAATCTCACAAAAAAGTTTTTCTTTATGATTTCATTACTAGCATGTGGAATATTAGTAATGGAAAAAGTTATTAGCGCAACTCCTGTAATGAGTTTTATTTGGCTGAATCTTAAATCCAAATTAAAGCTGAGAGTGTGCACTAAGCTATTTATTATAGTTATTTATGAGAAATTATGAATGTTTCTATGGTTTATGGAGACGCATGGCTCCGACAGACTGCTGCTATGAGTGACATGCAACAGGATATACAGGCCAACTGTCGAGCTGGTGTTTGGGTACAATTATAAATTATGCAACATGTACTTAGGCCATCACTCCAGTGACTGAAGTAGGTTAAAATGGTCCCTTCTATGAAATTCTTTTTTAATTATAGGTGCTGAAGCCATTTCCCAGCTTCTCACTTCATGCTTCAGTGTAAAAAGTTTGGCATTCGATCTGTAAAGTTCTCTTGCAAATATCTTTTGTTTTTTTTTTGTGCTTGTAGCATAAATTTTCCTTTTCTAAAGATGGTGCACTTTCTTTTTTGTCGTTTTGATAGCAGTGGTACATTGCTGTAATTTAAGTCACATTATTGTGAAAGGTTTTGCTGATACCATAAAGAAATATACAAAATTATACTGAGTGAGGCTAGTGCTTACCGGAGATGCATTATCATAGCAATTCTCTATGATACTTATGCTGGGCGTGCAATTTCTGTCCATTTTAGCCAATTCGACCGACTCTCTGCCTAATTGTGTCGTGCATGGTGTAGTCTAATTTACAGTGAGTAACAACAAGCTGCACAAAAATCAAACCCGTTTGGTTGCCCTTTGTGATTGTATCGCACCGTTAAAGCAGCATCAGAGGCCAGACTGACCTGCACCTCTCAACCTGTCACTCAAAAAAAGAATGTAATCTAATGTAATAAGTATGAAGACCAACATGGTAAATTTATATGACAATTCAAAGAAGACATGTACATAGTTTAAATATTGGAGTTTATAAACTTAATATGGCTTCAAAGCCACTGATTGCTTTAAGACTCACTCATGTCTCTCGCATTCACATATGCATGTTTCTAAACACAAAACAAGCGCAGTAAAGGTATTTAGTTAACTGTAGCGAGGTCACAGTTTGAATATGACTGAGAATATTCAGCTATCGTAGAATATCTCTTACTTGGAGAGGAGGAGGCAGAAATGACTGTGGTAGCACAGTTTACAGCTTCTTGCAAAAGTATTCATGCCCCACAAAGTTGTTGTTTTTGACATATTGCAACCATAGATTTTAATATATTTTACTAGGATTTTTCCAACAAGCGTAATAATCAATTAATGCATTATTAAGAAGTGGTTAAAAATATTGCTCAGATTTTGTTGATGCTGCTGTGAATATACAGTTTTAAGGCTTAGTTTATTAGGCTATTGTCTCTCAGTTGAATCTAGGACTTTGACTGGACCAATCCAACACAAGACTCAGACCTCAGAAGGCAATTGGTTGCAGTGGATTTTATTTAGGGCTATCAGAGTAAAGGGAGTTAAATACAATGCACGGCATACGTTACTTTAGATTTTCATTTGTATATAAAATGTGGAAACCATGTTTCATTTTCTTTCAACTTTACATGATGTGATATTCTGTATTGGTTTATAGTATAAAATAAATGGAACGTTTGCTCAATAAATTTGGTGATGTTAATGCTAGCTGTTTTTTAAACTGTTTTAGACAGAACTTATTTTCCCCCTAAAGTTGTCAATAAGATAATGTATTTTTTTGGAATTACTTAAATTTTGAACTTTAAGTTGTAAATTATGTAAATTGTCTGAACAGAAAGTGGCCAAAAAGTCCTAAAAATTTAGAATTTCTCTCATGGTTTGTATTAAAACTCCTTCAGCGCTTACATCTGTATTTGGATCATTTCCGCTGACAGGAAGTTGCAGCCAGTGGGTGATCCATCCTTAAAAATTACACCTGAAGTTAGCTGGGATTCTTCTGGATTATCGTGGCCCTTCAAAAACCGAGAGGGGAAAAAAAAAAAATCTGATTGCCTTTGGCTGTGTCAGTCACGTTGCTTGTTTCCAAAAGACTGCATAATAAAAGCCTATTTACTGTGAAACTCTGAAGCTAACCAGTCAGGTTTAGCTGCCTACCTACACTGGGAACACAGTGACTCACAGTCCTTGCTCTTACATTCAGTGTAACGATAAGCCTGAGGCACCATGAAAGATTGGGTAACAACAGCTGTAACCTTGTTTCAGCGTAGAAAAATCACATATAACGGTGTTTTAAGGTTATTTGCAAACCATGTAGAGTGAAAATAGTTTAACACAAAATGTATTTTGTTCTGTGTTCTCCTTTGTTCCTTCGCTCTCAGCATGGTTAACAGGGATTTAAGTCTTATAATCTTCTTTTTCTGTAGCTTTGTGTGACATGCACCCAATGAGGGCCCTCTTTCTGATTCCAAGGAACCCCCCTCCAAAGCTTAAGTCCAAGAAATGGTGAGTGTAAATCGCGTTTCTTTTCCAGATTCTGCAGAGGACTGCTTTTCCTTGCAAATATAACTGAGTGTTCAGATCTGCTTAGATAAAGTTGTGGTGGCATTAATGTGCGTAGTGGTTTCAGATTTCTTCACTGTGGAGTTATTTGTTTCAAGTCTTTGAACTGAAATTAATCCAACATATAAAGTAAATTGTAATGATGGGAAAGCGGAGACAGCGGTATAGAATGACAATATAATAAAAGGCAGTCCTGCCTTGCAATCACTTAGCAACACAACAGTTAATTGGCTAAAACTCATTAGAAGAGAAGGGCATTAAATGTAAATGATGCTGAGTTGTACAACAAACGCTGCATAATTTGCAGAATGTCTTTCGAGATAAACGAGCATAAGAAGGTGCAGAGATATTTAAGACTTAATTTCTCATTGTTCGTCCAATCCTGTGTGTTTGCCTCTCTTATTTCGCTGTTTCTTTTCAGCAAGGGAACCGTGTTCCCACATGAGCCAGACTCCAGTGTTTCCTCCTCTGTTCTGATCAACTAAAACATATTAGGATGCCATGGCTATTGGGTTGTGAATATTTCAGAGTATTTGTTTGATTAGTCCCACTAAATGTAAAATAGGCCTGCTAATTGTTTGGCAAGAAACAAAAAGCTTCAAGTATTTAAATACCCATACAGAACCCCAAAGTGTACATTTCTCATTCCATATGTCACATTTCCATCCTATAATGCCTACATCCAACACGTGAAAAGACTAATTACATAAACACAGTATGTATAAATAGAAGTGGCGCAAACACAGAGACGTTTCTATGAACTTCTCTGTCACAATCTATGAATATTGATATTCTTACCAGGTTGCAGCTCTTAGTTGTTTTTTTCATATTGGCAACATTTTCACCCTGAGTTATAAATTGCAACCACTTGATCTCTTGTATGTTCAAAGGTCATGCGCCATTTTCCAACCCTTCCTTCTCAGTTGTGCTCAGGCTTGTACGTCAGAGTAATTAAATAGTTCCAGGAAGGAGGTGCAAATCAGGAGAAATGTTTGGGATCAGTAATTTGGAGAGATGACAAATGGAGAAATTTGAAAGAAGTTTGGACTGAGCCCAGGTTCCCTGTTATTCAGAACCATCTGGGTAGCATGTTCCCAAAACATTGTAGTAGCATTCACATGCATAATTTATTCTCTGGTTTTCTTATTGTTGGATAATCAGTACAGTCATAGGTCTGCATGTTTCCACCAGAATAGCCTACTTAATGTAAACTGTAAATGTATACATTAGGAAATAATACACTGGTTGTGTAAATTAACTTTTCTCCACTTGATGTCTTACTCCAGAGGGGTTAGCTGCATTATATGATGTTAATCTGAGGACACTGACTTTGAGTTTTGGCCTTAAAAGTAACGTCAAGTTGATAACTACAGATGTAATGGATGGAAATTGAGCTAAAGTAGCGCTATATAATCAGACACACACTCCATCACTTGGATCAGATATGATCCAAGTGATGAAAATTATGCAGCTACATCTAATTATCAAGGCTAAATTTGCAGTAGAAGTGGTTTTTGGCTTAATGGGATCTACAGACTTCAGTAGATTCTCTGTACTGAAAGTGGGCACAAAGTAAAACTACACAGTAAAAGAAGATGTAATGCTAACATAAATTAGCTCTGGTTGCCTTGGTGGTCTGGCTGTTAACTCCCTGCGTCATCTTTCCTAACATCTACATATTTCTGTTAAAAAGTCTGAGTCCTACATAAAACAATTAGACTTTGCAGAACCAATTGATACATCATCCATAAATGGCATTAATTTTCCATTTTTAAGAGAAGCAATAGATAATTTTAAAATTATCTGTTGCTTCTGATTTATTTCTGATTTTTTTTTATTTATTTATGTTTTAAACTTTCAATATTTGTTTAATGGACCTAAGATATATTTGCCCCTTTAGTGTGCTTCTGCAAAGCAAAAAAAAAAAAAATTAGTTTTCTAAAAGGAGTTTCCAGAGCTCACGCGCATTCCTAGACGATCCAACAGTCCCCTTTTAGTTGAAAGAGCAGTATTCTGGTTATTCCATCCCTTCCTCGTCCCCAAAAGGATCGTCATTCTTTGATCTTACTTGTCCTCCCAGGTCAAAGAAGTTTATCGACTTTATAGAAGGCTGTCTCGTCAAGACGTACCACAGCCGGCCTAGCACAGAGCAGCTGCTCAAGCATTCGTTCATCAGAGACCAGCCCACAGAACGTCAGGTCCGAATTCAGCTCAAAGACCACATTGACCGCACGCGCAAAAAGAGGGGAGAGAAAGGTAAAGACAAGAGACTGGAGGATCTTAAAGTACATCTTAGATTGGTTTTCAGAAGCAGTTTTTGCTTCAGAAATAATTTGTCTTTATTGTTGATCTCTCTGCAGAAGAGACGGAGTATGAGTACAGCGGTAGCGACGAAGAGGATGAAAACCGTGGAGACGATAGAGAATCAAGGTAATTGATTTGATCATTTCTGTTCAAGTCTGCCAGTCTGAGTTTTGCAAATGTTCTCCATACATAATTTTAATTTTTGATCATCAGTTCCATCCTCAACGTGCCTGGCGAGTCCACCCTGAGGCGGGACTTCCAGCGGCTGCAGCAGGAGAACAAGGAGCGCACGGAGGCCCTCAAGAGGCAGCAAGCCCAACTGGCCGCCCAGCGCCGAGATCCCGAGGAGCACAAGAGGCAGCTGCTGCACGACCGACAGAAACGCATCGAAGAGCAGAAGGAACAACGGCGCCGACTCGAAGAGGTACTGTTCAACTTTGTATCTCTAGTGTTTCACTAAATCGTATTCTGTTCTGAGATCATTCCTGTGGCTTCTTACTATGAACCCACTTGTTTAGAGATGTCAACATACAAGGTGTATTTGCTTGTAATGTCTGTTACATGCTTCATAATTGTATGATGTTTTGTGATGTAAAACACTTTGAACTGCCTTGTTGCCGAAAATGTGCTATACACATGAACTTTGACCTTTGTAAGCAAAACTATCAGAATATTTCTGTGCAGTACTGAGATTTGAGAAAATATACTTTGTAGAAAAATCTAATCAGGCAGCTATTCAAAGGGTCTCTGCGTGCTAAAATTTATTTTACAAAAATGTACTTAATTAATTAATAACACGAGGTTCAACAGTATATCTGCATTTGCTACTCACTTATTTTCTTGGCTTTTTATCAGAGCTCACAAAGACATCAGCATTGTTTGCCAACACTTTTTTTATTTATATATGGTTGCCATTAATAATTTACTGTCAGTAGAAATAACATCACTGGTCAAGCTGAAGACACTTTAACTAATCTACCTTTTAAAAGTCAATAAAGCCTCCATGATTAAATTACTAGTCAAGTATAACTTTGTTTTAAAATGTTGACATGTTGTTAATCCATAAAGAGCTCTGACCAAGTATTATAGTTTATCTAATATTCTAATTTAATTTGTGTTTTCATTAACTGTAAGCTATAATAATGAAGATGAGAAACAAATGCTTGAAATGCATAATTTTTAATTTATCAGGAGATTATTCATTTATTCACATTACATGCATTTGTGAAACTTAAATAATTTCTCCGATTATTTTTTTTTAAAGTAAACATAAACCACCATGCAGACATGACAGGAAAGAGGGAAAAAATGAATACAAATTAATAAAATAAAAACAATTAAAATAAAATAAAAAATATACATAGTAAGTGGGCGGCGTTGGGGAGCAAAAGGTAATATTATTTTACTTTTTTAACTTAGTCACGTGATGGATGCATAGGTATTTTTAATGAATACTGATTCAGGTTTTAAATTATTCAAATAAAACGTATTCTGAGTTACTGTGATGCACGTGTAAAGCTATGAGCAGCAAGGAGGCATGTCAAAGGTCAGCGCAAGAAAGAACAAGTCATGTGGTTTTACTAAAAGACGTTTGTAAAGGTGAGTCAGTTCTCCTATTCATTTTTCCTCCAACTCTTTACAGTAGAGATTTTTTTTCCCTAAGCAGTCCAATTCATCTGTGCAAGCATAACCCCTCTGCTCATTTCTCTCCTTCCTGTCGCCTCTCTCCCAGCAACAGAGAAAAGAGCGAGAGATGGTGAGGCAGCAAGAAAAAGGCCCCCACCGGAGACTCGACGATATGAGACGGGAGGAAGACAGGAGGCTGGCAGAGAGGGAGCAGGTAACCAACCGCAGCAGAAGCAGAGCTGCGCCCGGCCAATCAGGAGAGGGGTGGGCGTGTCTGCCGGCAGCGCTGCGCTAGTTGCACTGGTGGTGAAATTCCGTGAGAGGGTTGCCATAGCAGCAGGGATCTAAATTAGTGTATTTACTCAGAGATGAGATTTCTGTGGGTGAGCTCTCTGCGTCTCTCCATTTCCAGTCTATCCTCGGCGGCATCAGAGTCTGGCATCAGAGCAAGATCATCCGTTAGTGTAGCAAACTTCACCAAATTCACACTGACCTCCTAAATATCTGAATGATTTATCGCCTTGTGGCTTATCACGTTGTATGTGTAGTGCTCATAACTATACATTTCATATAATCTGTATCTTTTATCCACAAAGCCTCAGCAGCAGCAGCAGCAGCTTTCCTGCTAAAATAATCAGCAGAATCTTTGACTTTTATCAGAACATCTCTTGCTTTTTGCTTGCTGGAATGATATTGCGTAACCTTCTATCTGTGTTTATCTTCCATTCCTCTCCCACATCATTTCCTTCTCTTGTGCCACCACCTTTCCTCTGTGCCCTCTTACCTCGCTGCAGGAGTTTATCAGGCACAAGTTAGAAGAAGAGCAGCGGCAGCTAGAAATCCTTCAGCAGCAGTTGCTTCAGGAGCAGGCGCTGCTTATGGTAACTAGTCCTTACCAATGCTTAATCACTTCCTCATTTGCTTGCAGACATTTTCTTCTATATTACTTCAAGTTATTAAAACTTAAATGAACTTCTGTGTTAGTGTGGTTTTCTTCCATTTATGTCAAAACTGCTTGAAATAGCAGTTTTGCTGTCTATTTCAAAAGACGGCAAATCTTCTGAAGAGGTTTGTCCATTTTTGGTTATTAAGTATCTTTTGCTTCATTTAGAAGTGCTACCGTCTCTGCATCTCTGTCTTCAGATTGCTATTGTGGTGCGTAGGAGTTGTTGTCATTAAAAATGAATCTTTGTTTCAGTTTAGAAAGAACATTAGTCAAAAGCGACAGTACGCATGTGGCTGATGCATATCAAGTTGTACCGGAAATTATTGAGTCCTCCACTACAAAACAAGCAATAATCTAAACATTTCAGGTGCTTTTGCAACAAACGGATCACAGAAGAACAACTTGGTAATTAAATTACCAGAATTTAATCTAAATTCAACGCTCTGTACTATCTCCAATCAGCCCTGCAGTCCCAAAACGATTCATTCTCTGGAACAGACATTAGCTGTGTGTTTAGGCACAGCCTGACGGTGGCTCCGTGATGCTGTGGGACAGCTTTGCTACATCTGGCACAGGAAATAGTCTAGAAATGTAATCTACTCTGTAAAGGAGTCCAAAGTTTAGCTGTCATTAGACCTTCCAGTAGGAGAATGATGTCAAGATTATCTCAAAGTTCACTAATGTTTGTCCTCAAAAGAACAGCAGTTATTAAAAGTGGCCTTTTGTGTTGAATTTTGAAAGAAAAGGAAAACAAGATGGGAGTACTGGACACTTTAGATCTGTGACTGAGATGTTAAGGCTGCCATGGCACACACTTTAATAAATGCTTCTTAAATTAATTTTTTTTTCTGAAGTATCTGCGATACTCATGCTGAAATAATCAATTGAAAACAAGAAGCACACTTTACACAAATAAAGTGAATATATGAATATTATGATTCCCAAAACAAGCCTGTGCATACTACCTTATGTAAGAATATAAATGTGCCCTGTACTTTTATAGTTCCTTGATGAGGCAAAAAAAGCAGTTGGAGAATTTCAATGTTTCAACTTTAAAGTGCTCATTTTCACCCAAAGCTCTGGAGCTTTTATATTTCTGTTGTTGCTTTTAGCTATCAAACTAGCTTCCAACTCACGATAAGTTAATGGACTCTCACAAACATTACCAGCAGATACTGTAATTCATATCGCAAAATGGGAGCCATCACATTCCTGATTTGCAAAACGTTGGCCTTTGTTTCAGCTTGGTGAAAGCTCGAGGTTTGCATGCATGTAGTTCGAAGTATTCCTCGTCTTCACTGCTATGCCTCGCCTTCCTCAGGAGTATAAGCGAAAGCAGCTGGAGGAGCAGCGGCAGTCGGAGCGGCTGCAGAGGCAGCTGCAGCAGGAGCATGCCTACCTGGTGTCTCTGCAGCAGCAGCAGGAAAAGAAGCCCCAGCTTTATCACTATAACAAAAACCTGGAGCCCAACAACAAACCCACCTGGGCCCGAGAGGTTGGGGCGTCTGTTTTTTTTTTTAAAGTGTTAGCATGCCGCCTGAAAAGACTCTGTTCTCCAAGTCAAATCTCTCGTTTTCTTTACTCCAGGTGGAGGAGCGAAGTAAACTAAACAGACAAGGGTCACCGAAAATCTGCACCACCGTCTCTGACACTGCCATCCAGTCGCGCTCTGACTCCATCAGCCAGTCGGGAATGGTTCAGTCTGCACAAACGCCTCCAATGCAGAGGCCAGTTGAACCCCAAGGTGGTCAAGGAAAGGTGTGTGGCTTAAATATGTGGTTTAATAAAACCTCGCAGAAGCACTAATATTTCTCAGTCTTGACTGCCTTATGCTTGATATCTGGGCTGCTTTACTCATGCTTTTCTGTCTTTACTCTCTTTTTCTCTTCACATCTTTCTGTTTTCCCATTAAAACTTGATACTTTCTACCAACCCCGTCTATGCACTTCTCTTCACTTTGACCTACATCTTGGACTGTCTTGGGTGCTGCTCCTTGCATTTGGCTGCTGCTCCTGCCCTCTGCAGTTCCAGATGGCTCACTTGGTTCCACTGAAGCCGTACGCTGCCCCTGTCCCTCGCTCTCAGTCCCTCTGTGACCAGCCAACTAAGAACATGTCCGCCTTCCCCACCCAGGACCCCTCCCTCGCCCCCACGCCCCGCCCCATCCACTCCAGAGAGCTTGTACGTCAGAACTCTGATCCCACTTCTGAAACCCCGGGGCCGCAGTTGCATCAGATCAGGGAGGATCGCGGCCCCTGGATCCGGCTGCCAGATGTAGAGCTCCCACCCAAGGTAAAATCCAATACCTGAACTTCATCTAGCTTTGGAGAATCAAACAGAATATATTAAGAACTCCAAAGGTCTCTTTTTAAACTTTGTTTTTGTTTTGTTTTGGGAAACTAAAAACACATCTTGCTGTTGCTGTCAGATTCCTCAGAGAACTGCGTCCATTGCCACGGCTCTTAACACCAACCTTACCTCTGGCATTAGGCATCCAGTAAGAGCCAGGTACTGATGACAATATATGTATTTTTTATTTATTTTTTTTGCAAATTAGATCATTGTAATCTACGGTTAGAGTTATTAACTTTAGATTACCTTCATGGCAGCAATCCAGATCTCAGCCGCAATGATCGCTGGGAGAGAGGAGACAGTATGAGCATCATATCTGGTCTTCCCCAAACGGGCTCTCTAGAGAGGCACCGCATCCTCAGTGAGTCCTCAGTGCTGCAAACGTGGCCGACCACCAATAAGTTTTATCACATAAAATCTTAATAAAATACACTGAAGTTTTGCATGAGAAAATGTGAAACAGTTGAAGTTGCATGGATGCAGGTTTTCCAGGGACCCTGACGCCTCTATATTCCTCGTCAGGTACCTCCAAAATGGATTCACCAATACTCTCCCATGAAAGTCGCCACAAGCCGGGGGAATCCCGTACATCCTCTCGTCCTGGGCGACCTGCTGTACGTCTTCTTTTTGTTTTGTTTGCTCTTCAGCTGCATCACATTAACTATTTTTCAAATTACTTGCTTATGAAACTGTGTTGATTGTTTAACACAACTGTGCTAAACTAGGGTTGTAACGGCACATGGTAGCAAAACGGTTAGCTTCAAGCAAGCAAAGCAAAAAGTGGCCTTTACAACTGACTGGAAATGTGTTTTTAGAACTGGTAACTGGAGAAGATCGATGTTGTTTATATGTTTTTTAATGAAACTCCTTAAGGAATTTAAATACTTTTTTTATTCTCGAATATAATAGACAAAATAGCTCAGCTGTTCAGACATCACCTCTGGTCAGAGGCCCAGTCAGGACAGTAGCAGCGTGTTGTGGCTGCTGTGCAGCATTTGATTCTGGTTGGGCAGCTAGATTTTATCTCTAGCATATTTTTTTTCACGTCTCAGTGAAATTTACCTTCAGATGAGTAAATCATTGAAGTGCCGAATGAGCGATGCACTGCGTGCTTAGTTCACCTCAAACATTCTGCATGTGTGGAGGTATAAAGCGGCGCCGTCTTTGTTCGGTAGGCGTGTGTTGTACGCGATATTTCCAGTAGGAATACCCGTACCGTTACACTCCTAATGTTAATGCAACTGAAAGACCGCTGCCATTGACGAGCAGTCACAACACAAAGTTAGACATTTTACTTGTATTGGAAATTCACCAGTTGCTTAAAGTAAGTCCAAGGGAAACTCACAATTAAAAATGCCCTTTCAGGCACAAACTGATTGCCATTAATTTAACCCCAGTGCTAGTCTTAAACGGTTGCTAATGCTTTGATGTAACATTTAAGTCTAGGAACACGTGTACACTCATGTGTTTCGGCAAATGTTAAAATATTAAACATCTCTTCCAACTTTTCTCCTGCATGGTTTTCTCAGGTTCATCTTATGCTGCATCTGATCAACTGTAGTTTGTGCTACATGAATATAAAGCTAACCACGTGTACATTGACATACAGTTTTTATTTCTGGAAATCCAGCTATACACTCTACATGCAGTGTGACATTCCTGTTGGGTGGAAGAACATGCTTTGAAGGACAGCGTTACAGAAAGTACTTTGTGTAATACTGTCTGAATGAATCAATGCTTTAGCATTCTCAGACTGATGAAGCCAACAGTGAGGACCATGAGAGAAAGGAGTGCTTGCTTTTACACAGTGGACACCTTTGCTGTCACATTTCTCATCTTCTTAACTCTCTTGTTTGTTGACTTCGAATGTGCAGAGCTACAAGAGGGCTATAGGGGAGGTTAGTAGCACTGTGTCCGTGTGTTGAGCAAGGCTTGGAAGTTATGCATGCATTTGTTTTCCTCCACTTTTTAATGTTCATGCAGATTTGATTAAATGGCCGACGTTTTTCTTCATCAACTGTAATATTGCGATCCTAATGGCATGTTCTGTTACTCTGATTTATTTTCTCAACTTTTGTTTTTGTTGTTGTTGATCCTGTGATGTCAGTTTTCTTTTCACACATCGATCACTGTCGTGTGAGCATGTGTGTGTTTGCTTGTTTGTTTCTTGCTAGACTCTTCTGTTTTAAGTGCCTTTTGTAAGTAAATTGTGACGTCTGTGTGTGCAGGACCATGGGCTCTACGCTAAGGAGCGTGCCGAGGAGCCTCCGCGTCCCCCTGTCAAGGCCAATGATTACTCCTCATCTTCAGAGAGCAGCGAGAGTAGTGAAGAAAGCGAGAGCGGCGAGGGACCAGAGGAGGAGAGCCCGACTGATCGGTAATGAAAGTGTTAACACAAACAGTTCTGATTATTCAAGACGCCACAGACTGCTAGGGATGTTTCCATCTCTTCCCAGGTAACATCTCTGGGTGTTGCTCAAAGTAAAAAAAAATTTAATGAAATACCAGATACACCAGTAGAGCTACTAGTTGTGACTTTTAGTAGATCTAAACCTTTCTGTGAACACGGCTTCCAAAGCTGACCTTGCACATGTTTGGTTGATCAAAAAATGCTGGTTTTCCTTGAGAATCAAACTATTTTTCACCTTCTACAATGACTTTGAAAGTACAGTTGCAAGATTCCAGTCTGTTTGTGTCATGTGTCTGCTCTGCAAGCTGCATTTAAATTTCCACAGACAGTTGTTGCTGTAGGAGAGAGCTATGCAGAAAATGAAATGGAAACGACCATTATTGTCCTGCAAAGGAACAATTCAGGTGTAACGGCAGCATCAGGTGTAAAGGTTGACACAACAAATTCTTGGTGTTAAAAAGCAAGATTAACAATAACATTCAATAATGTTTAATGATAGTAAAGATGATGTTAATACTATAAAAGAGTAACAAAACAGAAAATACTATGCAGTTATTAGAAATAAAAATATTTAACTTGCTGTCCAAAGGATGTGCAGCTGAGTCAGATCACTTTCTGTGCATAATGTGCATTCAGTGTATTGAAAATAGAAAAAGACAGACTATTTACAAAGCATTATATTGTCAGAAAGGCAGATGTACAATAGCAGCTGAAATGTTCTTTAAAAATGAGTAAAACCAGAGAAGGTAATTGTGCAAACGCCAGCATGTATGTAAATACTTATTTTGTAAAATTGCCTATTTTTTTTCTTTTCTTTTTTTTTTTTATTGCTTTTAAAGCAAGTGTTGAATTTACCTTTTCTGCACATAACGAGCTGAAAAATTCAGTCATGTCAAACCAGAGAAAAAATATCCTCATGGCAGCTTAACACCTCGGTGAAATCCTCCAGATAAAAAAACAGTCTTCAGCAGAAGCAAGACTTGAGTTCGGGGAAGACTGGAGGAGTGTATTCAAAGCCAATGCATCATCAGAAACAAAAGGGACAGCCCTGCATGTTTAGAATGACGACTTGTTAGCAGAGTTGATGCAGCACATTTTCACTCTCCTGCAGAAAGTCTGGTTGGGACAAAATATGTAAGAAAAATGAGCACAAGAGACTTCAGCATAAGCCCTGTTGGACTGGCACGTTAATCAGTAATTCTTAAATTACTCTAAACAGGAAGGAGGATGGTGCATCCTGTTCAGGACATGTCTATTTTATGGTAATTATATTCACTTAGCTTCCGGCTTCATATCTTCCTGATCGTGTTTTCTCTTGTATCCAGCCACAGAGATGCAGACAGTGATTCAGTCAACACCATGGTGGTTCATGAAGATGAGGGCGAGGTGGGAGAGGGAGAGCAAGCTGGAGGATACGGGGATCAGACCATGCTGGTTCAGAGAGTGAGTCACCTCTACATGTAACGGCGTTTAAAATGCATCGTTGTGTTTCTTTTTTCACCAGTGCAAAACTGACCATGTTTAGAAACTGTAAGAAAAATTACTGGATTTGTTTTGCTGTCATTTCTTTCTAAACAGGCATTTTAAACTTTTGCCAAACTCCTTCATATCGCCCTGAGCTCCAGAGTGCTACTGTTTATCAGATGTAATGGCCTCATCCTACAGGTTTTATTAGATCTGGGGATTTCTGTTGATTTGGTTTTATGTTTTGCAACATTTTTTCTGAAATACTCCATGACGGCACATTTTCAGCTTACAAGCTGAGTTCACAATGTTTTCTTTTTTAACATCCTGGCGTTTGAAAGAGCTTGCACTCAATCAAGGCTCCCGGGCGTTTTAAAATAGAAACAGGCCTGCAGCATTTGTTACCATAGTTAAGACTTGGTCTCATCTGACTGAAGCACGCAGTTCCAGTTAAATTCCCTGTAGCTTCTTCTCGACAACTGCTTGCCGTGTAGATTGTGTGTAAGTGTTGCTGTGGACACTTTTGGACCACAGGAAGTCACTCTTTGCTTCCCGGGTTATTCTTTTCCACCTTTGCATCTCGCTCACTGTTCGTAATGGCAAGATGCACGAGTCCTCGCCCAGCCTAGTGGCTTTCATGTACCATATTTCATGTCAAATTTATAACTACAGGAAATGGAAAATCATTGATAACTAGTTTATATTTCATAAAATTTAACCTCCTTTAAAAAAAACCTACCTTCAAAGCCAAAGAGTATTTGCTTTGTTTGATTTCCTCTGTAAAAATAGGAATTTTCTCGTTCAGACGTGTGAAAATGAAAAAACTTTGCTCATAGGTTTGGTTCATGTAATTTGTTTCAAACATTAAATGTAACTTTTATCTTGCAAGAATAAAGATTTAGTGTATTTTTACATTTTTCTTTTACTTTCATTAAAAAAAATTACATTTTGTGCTCAGTTTTTTCTAATTAAAGAATTTTAACTTCTAAAAGTCCAAAACCTTTACAAATCACAGATCATAATTTTAGGGAATACTTTACAGGTTTGTCTAATGATAAAGGCACCCATGTTCCTTATTCTTACTTTTACTTTTACTTACAGATATCCTTTAGGTCTCGAGGTGGTTAGTTTATTTCCAGCTGAACACGTCATACTTAGCTGCAGCACGTTAGCCCAGATTCAAATCTGTGGCGTCATCATTACATAATGAACTGTGTGTTTGTTTTACCTGGAAGACCCCAGAGAAGAGGAGCCATAACGGATACACTAACTTGCCAGATGTGGTGCAGCCCTCCCACTCTCCCACCGATTCAGCCTCTCACTCCTCTCCAGGGAAGGACTCCGTTTATGATGCAAGTTTCACTGAGTCTAAGTATATCAGTCCTCAATCCGTGGGTTATTTTTGTGTCGGCTATGTATGCCATCATGTCAGGCATGAAAGTTTCATCAAACGTCATTAACTCAATACATGACTATTAAGTTATCTTTGTAAAGTGATATAGGCAGTAAAATTACATCTATACTCGGTGTATAAAATATTCAAAATTAAATTTCTGTTGCCTTAAAGTGGAACTAACGACAACATGTTCAATCCAGTATCAATCCAGGGGTTTGGTGAAGGCATCTGGCAAGTCTTCCTTCACCACCTTCGTGGATCTTGGCATGTATCAGTCACCAGGTGGCACAGGGGACAACGTGTCAATCAGCGGTGAGTCACAAGCTCCTCAAACGTCCCACAGCATCTGCTCAGTGTAAATATTGACCCATTAATATTGCAGCCACACTGGTTTGTTTGTTTTTTTTGTCAGACCTGACTTTTTCAAAACATTTATAAATTGTAAAATTAGCTTTAGCATATGGTCATTCTGTATACATTTGATGGATGGGTCATATTTGCAGCAGTATTCAACCCTAATCTGTTGTGCAGTAAAAATATTCTAATGAGGGGAATTGCATATCCATTTCTGTTGTTTTGGCTTTATGCAAATGTCATTTGAAAAAATGTACATATTGGAAATGATCATTCGTGAAAACAATCCATTCCTGTGTTTTTGCACTATAGGCTCCAGATTTGAGCAGCTGAAGATGGAAGTGAGGAAGGGATCCATGGTGAATGTCAATCCTACCAACACGCGCCCTCCTAACGACACACCTGAGATCCGCAAGTACAAGAAGAGGTTCAACTCTGAGATCCTATGTGCTGCACTCTGGGGTGAGGATAAAAATCACACTGTTACAAAAAGAGCTAAATAACAGATTAAAGAAAACAGAAAAAAAGAGAAAATCCCAGTAAAGAAGAAAAGTAAATATAAAAACATGAATTCTACTGTGTTATTTTTAGTTGTGGCTACAAGAACGATAGTATAAGAATGTTTTTCACACCCAGTCTCAGTTATTTATGGGTCCATGCGTTTGTCTGTAGGTGTGAACCTGTTGGTGGGCACAGAGAACGGCTTAAAGCTGCTGGACCGCAGTGGCCAAGGAAAAGTTTACCCACTCATCAACTCCCGCAGGTTCCAACAAATGGATGTTCTGGAGGGACTCAACCTGCTCATCACAATATCAGGTACAGTAACTTCAGCTGGCATTCTTTTTGGGTTTTAATAACTTAGCATTTTCAATTAGAACAAGAAAATGCTAATAAAATGGTGCATAAAGCAGGTTTTATGTGCTTTTTGATGTGACTCGATAATTATGTGTTATTGGAAGATTAATATCTGAACACCAACTATAAAGTCTTAAAAATGCAAACATTAAAAAAAACCAACTTAAATAAATAAGCAATGCTAAGCCTGGTGGCCCGCCAGGCTTATAATACACTGATTGAAACCCTGATGTAATTTTGTTTTTTGAGCTAATCACAACATTTAACATCTCTTTGACCAAGTTCTCCTTGTTGTTTAAGGCAAGAAGAACAAGGTGCGTGTGTATTACCTGGCATGGCTGAGGAATAAGATCCTTCACAATGACCCGGAGGTGGAAAAGAAGCAAGGCTGGACCACTGTGGGAGAAATGGAGGGCTGTGTGCACTACAAAGTGGGTAAGTTTCATCCATGTCAGCCATCTTTTCTCCTTCTGAGAAATGATGGTGACTATAGGCGGCACCAGGTGGGTAACCTGGTGAAATGAAGGATAAATCACATAAGTAAAAGAGTGAATTATTAATTATTGACAAAGGGCCTTACTGTTGTTCTGTTCAGTGAAATACGAGAGGATAAAGTTCCTGGTGATTGCTTTGAAGAATGCGGTGGAGGTTTATGCGTGGGCGCCCAAACCTTATCACAAATTCATGGCCTTCAAGGTAGAGCTCCCCTTTCTCATCACATTACATCCTGAGATCAATCTAGCTAATTATTTTTCTAAAAAAAAAATCCAATTTTTTGCCCTTTTAAACTAGTCTTTTGCAGACTTGCCACACAGGCCTGTACTGGTTGACCTGACTGTAGAAGAGGGCCAGAGGTTGAAGGTCATCTACGGTTCCTGCGCTGGGTTCCACGCCATCGATGTAGACTCTGGAAATAACTATGACATTTACATCCCTGTTCATGTGAGTTGTAAAGCTGTCAGCCTGCAGTATTTTGGTAGAAGTGAGATTTCTGGGGAAGCTCTGACCCTCCTCCTTCATTTCAAGCAGATCCAGAGCCAAGTGACTCCACACGCAATTGTGTTCCTGCCCAACTCTGACGGCATGGAGATGCTGCTTTGCTATGAGGACGAAGGTGTTTACGTCAACACCTACGGACGGATCATTAAAGACGTCGTCCTGCAGTGGGGCGAGATGCCCACGTCCGTTGGTACGAACTTTAAAACTGTGTGGTTATGTAAGGTGGAGATGCATTGGTCGTTGCTAATGTTTCTGTGCTTTGCAGCTCATATCTGCTCCAACCAGATCATGGGATGGGGTGAAAAGGCCATCGAGATCCGCTCTGTGGAGACCGGTCACTTGGACGGGGTCTTCATGCACAAGAGAGCTCAGAGACTGAAGTTCCTTTGTGAAAGAAATGATAAGGTAAGAGAGAAAAGCTTCATGAAAAGAAATGAAGCAAATAAACACCAAGAACTACTACTATACTTTTCTGAACTTGGAATATAAACTTATTTAAAATAGTGTTAAGTTTCATATATAGGTGGTATTGGATTTATATCTGTAGACAAATTTTTTTCATACTTTCTCACTTTTATTTAGGTGTCATTTTTTTCTTAGATTAAAACTTATTAATTTGTTAAAATTATCTGTGTGATCGTATGTTTTGAATCTTTGTTCTATTGAAGAGAACATTCACATCTAGTCTCCAGCCTTTTTTCCTCTAACAACGTTTCTTCCTGTAGTCTGACCAGTTTCCCTATTCCCACAGCATCACGCTGCCCCCACCATGTTTGACCGACAGGATAGTTTGTCCAGTGTAAAATGTAGTTTTATTTTTCCACACTTACTGTTTTTGCTTACTGGCTAAAATATATATAATTTGAAAAGAACATCTTCTGTCATACTCTTGCTGTGTTCCCTCCATGGCTTGTGGAAAATTGCAAAACTGACTTCGTATGTCTTTGTTTTAGTTTTTCCCATTCTTCCAAAAAGGCCGGTCTTCTAGGAGTCCAAGACTAATGGCTGCTCTTTTTGTCAATGCCCTCTTGCTAGGATTATCAGTTTAGGTTCACAGCCATGTCTTACTGTTTGCAGTTGTCATACTATTCAAATGATTTCAGATTTTCAAAGCTTGAAATATCCTAAATAAAACACCAATTTAGTTTTTAGTTGTAGTGGCAGTGCAGTGAACTTCAAGTTGTAAAAGTTGCAAAATAAAAACTTTCTTATAAAAGATGTGTTTCTTACTCATTAAGACTTGTGTAAGGAAGGGAAGAGGCTTTTTTTTCCCAGAATGACGCTGTACAGGCTAATAATTCTGTTATAGATGTAAGTGCTAATCGTTGCCCTGTGTGTCTGTGCTGCTCCCCAGGTGTTTTTTGCTTCCGTGCGTTCAGGAGGCAGCAGCCAGGTGTACTTCATGACCCTGAACAGAAACTGCATCATGAACTGGTGAAGCGGCAGCTGCTTTGGTCAGTGCGTAGAACCCAGCAGAGCCGACATTCTTGCTAACGCATGCACACAATTTGCAAACACTGCTCTCTTTTACCCTGAAGCTCCTGCATACTTGCGTGCTCCAACCGCAAACGCAAAGACATCCAGAACTCGCACAGAAAAAGCAGAAAACAAAACAAACAAAAAAAAAACCCACTCCACAGACATAAACTCTAGATCCATTCCAGCCTTAACTGCTTAAGGTACAGTTAATACAGAGACCCCCTGCTGGCAGTCTGCTGGGAATCATCACGAAAAACCGCAGATGAGATTCAAATGTCGATATCCGTAATTAATTTAGACTCTGTGTATATAAACTAGCTTGATTCTGTTCTCTTTGTGAAGCTGTCTTCTTTAGTTTGATCCACTTAGTTTCTACTTGTGACGTACGTTAACATTCCTATATTTGAGGAAGGCATTATTTTTCAAGTACTGTGTTCAAAATCAACAATATATCGCCTGAGACTTGGACGAGAATCTGTTTCAAACTTGAAGTGCTGAAGAGTCCATGTGCTGCGGTGCACAGACCTTATTTGTTCAGAGGTTTGCCGTTTTGACATGAAGTTGTTCCGTATCAAGATTGACCACAAACATTTGATGTATTACAACAACATGAGCAAAACCTAGGTGAAGCGGTTATTAGTAAACCCTGTTTTTTTGTTTTGTTTTGTTTTTTTCTGTCGCAGCAATCAGGCCTTGAATCTTTTAAATGTAAATTAAATTTCAGTTCAATATTAATAAATGTTAAATCTAGTTCAAAGTCTTTTTTTTTTCATAAGGTAAATAGAATCAGAACAGAACAACTTCCTGCTTTGGTTTCTTCTTTGGTTTGTGTAAAAACCAACTTCATTCAACTTGTATCCGTCTTTCATAGGTTTACAAAGTACGCAAATTTACTATTTATATGTAGTGGTTCTGTAATAGTACTAGGCTACTGATTTTCTTAATTTTTACTGTAATTCTAATGCCATATTATTGCAATATATTCTACTGTTGTGGAGTCTTTTTAAGAGGGGAGTTTGTGTGTGAGGCAGCATGATGAGAGCTTCAGGAGGAGGATGGGTGTGAAGGGGACAATCGGTGATCAACCCTGCTGTATCATATTTTAGTCCTTAAATTGTTTTTTTTTTTTTTGTGTGTGGGTGTGTGTGTGAGCAGTGTGTGTGCAGCAGAACAGCTCTTCGTGGTCTTCGGCCAGCAGAACAATTTATCTTCAGGGAGACGCTGCGGTTCGGCAGAGTACTCCAGCTTTTTGGGCACTTTGGAGAGCATGAGTGGAGCTCATGAAACATATTTTATAGATTTACATTCTGCCAAAGTTCACAGTGCATGTTGGGATAACTGGGTGAGTCGAGGCCAAAGAAAGCAGAAACTAAATGGAAGCTGTGAATCGAGGCGAAAACAACTCACAGATCACTAACCAAGGCTTTCCTCCTGTAATATATAGTTGTTGTTTTTTTATATAAATATATATATACAGTGTTGATTGAAGGTTTAGATACACAGATGACCTCAACTGACCTTTTTTTCCAGTGTACAATCAAGGTTTCCCCCAGAAACCTTGCTAAGCCCGGTGGTTGGATGCCAGGGCAGTCATTCATCCAGCGACCCGTTGTGTTTTTGAGTTAAAATATGTTTAAAGTTGACTAAAAGTGTGAAAATATCACCTGGTAATTTGTGTTGGTGTAAGATTGGAAGATTAATATCTGAACACAAACTAAAATCTTAAATAAATAAGCAATGCTTAGCCTGGTGGCCTGCCAGGCTTATGATGCACTGGGGGAAACCCTGATAACGATATAATGAAGTGCAACAACACAGCCACATGCATTTTCTTTTTTTTTTTTTTTTTGGATACACCAACCATCTTTGACTGAATATTTGACTACTCTTCTTTACAGAATTGGTAGTTAATTTAAACTGATTGGATTCCCAACAAAGAGCTGAATTTTAATCATTTAAACCTAGATTTTAATGCATGTTGAGACCAGGACATCCCAGAAGCTTAGGAATAATTGTCCAATGTCCAGACTTTCTCTCAATCTAGCTATGGATCCAAGTGATTGAGCTTTTATGGCTCCTGCAGTCTCAAACTTCCTAAACCATTTGTGTTTCGTCTGAGCGCTTGAGTCAGATGGTTTCAAACTGGAGAGAGATCCCGAATGAACATTAAAATCAACCAGTTTAGATTAATTCTACTATTTCTAATGAGAAGAGTGTGTAAAAAAAAAAAAATTCAACCAGGATCAGAAACTAAACTGAGTAAATGATGAAGGAACCTTTGATTAGTGATCAGTGGGAAACTCTGCTAAAGCTCGCCCTTCAGGATAAGATGTACTGTCATAAAGCTATAAAGATCGCCGGACTTGTTTGAGTCAAAGTTAAGATTATTATTCTATAGATAGACAGATGATTTATTGTACAGGAAGAAAATTTAAATGGACATGGAGAACACTTTTCCTTCAGTTTGAAAACCCTTACAGATGTATATCTAACGCATACTTCAGTGCGTATTGAGACGGTTTGTATAGTACTGTATGAAAACTTTTTTTCTTTCCCCTTGTTGAATATCTTTTATGTGCCATGGCCTACACTGCAGATTTACAGTACACACAGAGCTGTGGCACTAGTTTTTCTTTTTTTATCTGCAATCAATCTGCCATCGTGTTTACAGATTAAGCAGTGCCTTGGAGTAGAGAAAGTTAGAAGCCTGAGGAATCGTGTTTTTTTTAGCCCCGTCCCTCGTCTCTTACTTGAAAATCCAACTAGACGTTTAGGACTAACACTCGGTGCCGGTTAAGTGCACTTAAATTAACTAAAATAAAATCTAGAGTATCCCCTAAGTGAATGTGAGATGCATTTTTTTGGGGCACCAAAATCAACTCCTAAGGATTCATAGCGCGTCCAATCAGAAAGTAGTAATAACAAATGTGTTATTACGCGTTTATTGAGCTCATTGTGATGTGTAGTGGATCAGCTTACAGAGGGAACCAGCACAGAGAAAAGCTATGTGTATGAAACCAGTTTGGAGAAAACCCTCAAATGAATTTGTGTGTGTGTTATGTGTGTGTGAGAGACATATCCTCAAACGATGGTGATGATGATGATGATTTAGGTTCATGCTGCACAGATCAAATAATTGCTTATCCTTCAGTGATTGTGTAACCTCGTAGTCGGGAGAGTAGCTTGTTATATTCTCAGAAGCCTATTTTATAAAGTTTGTAAATTAGTATTATTCAGAAAAAAGGTGAATGTACATCTATAAAACAGGTTTGTATTTGTATAAAGGTGTAACACACTATTATTCTAAGCACAATGTATTTTAGGATGGATCAACTTAGCATAACGGAGACGGAGTCCTACATCCCACGTTCTCCGTCGTCGGGTTTGTCGACATGAAATCAGTTGCTTAAAATTGAAACGGTTGTCGGCTTGTTGCATCGTCCGGACAGACCATCGGCTTTCACAGCGACGTCCACGTTGGTTGATGAGCCGCGCGGGGCTGACGGGCCGTTAATATTCTCAGGTGATCGTCGTGAAGGAAGTGCAGTGGTGATTTTAGCCTCTTATCAAGGGAACAGCGGCCAGAGAGTCAAAAGTACATTTAAACAATTTGTCAGAATACCAGAGGTTTATGTTTGTTTTTATCAAAATCAGTTTGCGAAACTAGAGAACTAAAGGATGTTGACGATGGTTAAAACTGAGGACTGGAGTCTGAAAACCTGGCAGGCACAACTTGAAAGTAAATCGGGTCAAAAGCTAAGCCAGTTCGACAGCGTAGCTCTTAGCTTTAAGAAGTACATTTTCAATGAATGGACAACGATTATTCCAAAATTAGAGACTGCGCATTAAGTTGGGATGTGTAAAATTTGTGGGAGATGTCTATTGATTAAAATCAAACTTCTGAATTTAATTGACTGTGTGTAATTTTTGAAAACACTCAAGATTTCCTTCTGAGGCTTATAAGAGTAAGCTTTACTGTTAAGAAGACATTAAAAGCATTAAGACTGCACATTAAATGTAAAGGTTAACATGATACTACATGATAGCCAGAGTTGCACCAGTCAGTTTTCTCCTTCCTAGTAAAGATTAGGATTTTTTTGTGTCTCTTTTGATCAATTCTCCATATACATTTATTTATTTAAAGGAATATAAAATGCAGTGAAAGTTTTTTGTTTTTGATATAAGTTGTGGTTCTAAATCACAAAATGAAGGAATTCACAGCATTTGTCATCATGCATTGCGTTTTTTTTTTTTTTAACTAAATAAATAGATCAAAGTACATGCTGGTAATTTAATTTTAGCTTTCATGCATTTCAGAAATACTTAAATATCTTTTAGTATGTGTTCCTCTGATCACCCAGCAGAGACTATCAAGGAAAGCTAACCAGTTCCAACCCCTGGCATGTCGATTCGTGCATCTCTAATTACAATAAAGCATCCTTTTAAAAACACTAATCCCTAAACGCTTTAAAAAAAAAAAAAAAAAAAAAAAAGCACCTTAACATGTGGAAGTTCTGTTCAAGTTTGCACTAAGCACCAATTGAAACCTAAACAGATACTTTGCAGAAGGTCGACGTCGGTGTTACCTTGGGTTTCATCAGAATGATCAGCTGAGGGCGTCGTCTGAAACTGATGACGCTTCTGTTTAATAAGCAATATCTGAACCAATCAAAACCCTGGCCGTCCATCTCAGTGTGGCTCGCAGGTGGCGATTCTTCAGTGGCCTTTGGCAGAATAAATGTAGGCTGGTTTGTTTGTTACAAAACCGTTCTCTTCTTACGTCTATAAGTGCTCGAAACGACAGCTCCTCTCTGTCGGTCTTAACACAATCACCTTCTGGGAAACTAAAGACGATGAAATGTCAGAAACTGCCTTAACGGCCGGGTAGGAAACGATCAATGGAAAACCTAGTAATAATCTAAAGTGGCACTTCTGTTATTTTTGGTGTGGCGTGTGTGAATGGTATTGGCAAATCATAATCGCCAGGATGTTTAGACGGAGCTATAATATCCATTTTTCTTTTTCGATAACTTGATTTTTAACATTTTTGCAACGTTTTAATGTGCCCACATCTGTTACTTGTGAGAGGTTAACTTCAGATTGTATTTCATAAACCTATAAACTTTAAACTTTCAAAAGATTGTGCTGAATGAATTTATGTCTTAATACAGGTTGTTTGAAAAATAAAATCTTGATCTCACTTGGGTTTGTTGGTGCTGTGTTTTTTTCTCTGTTGATGGTTACATCTGCAATGAAAGGAAGACGGGATGAAGATGAAAGACTCCTGTTTTTTTTTTTTTGTTTCATTCTTGTCATATTTTTTCTCCAAGGAAGCGGTCACAGAAGTCATGGATTACTAACTAGAAGTTGCCAGAAACTTGAAGATTTGAAGCAGAAATGATAATAAAATTAAATGCTTTGGATACATTAATTTTAAAAAGATTGTAAAAGGGACAACATCATCCATGATTTTATTTCTGGACAGTGAAAAATCTGGAGAAGATGGATTATGGGAACAGTTTCGTCATTTCCAGACTATCCTTTTGTCTAAATGTTGCCCCTCATCTGTTCCATATATCAACTTGTCTCCTTCATTTATGTCCTTTTGATTCCTGCTTTATTTTCTTTCTTTGCTTCCTTTCTTCCATGTTTTCCTTCTTCCTGCCTTCCTTCCATCTTTGTGCCATTTCCTTTTTTTTTTTTTTTTTTTTACATTTTTTTACTTTTACTTTTGGTTCTTCTTCCTTGTT